TAGAAAATAGAGATTTTATAGGGTTTAAGAAACTAATTAAATCATATATGAAATTTAAATAAATTACTCCTTGGAAAATTGAAAATGATGACCATGTACCATGAAAATATGTTTAGCCAACATTAATATACATTGAGAGTGTAGTTTGGTATTTTTTAAACAACAGTAAAACGTCTAAAATTATAGATAGCATTTTTCAGAAAATTCAATTTTTTCAAAGGGGTTAACCTACATATTTCAAAAAAAATTAGAATTTTTATTTATTTTTCTTTTAATGCATATTTGCATCATGAACTGACTTATTATGAATATTAAAGAGGTTTGAGACCTTTTGTGTTCCCATTTCTCTAGAAAATAGAGATTTTATAGGTTAGAACACTAATTAGATCGTATATGAAGTTTAAATAAATTACTCGTTGGAAAGTTAAAAATTATGACCCTATACCATGAAAATAAGTTTAGCCTACATTAATATACATTTAGAGTGTGTTTTTGTATTTTTAAATAACAGTAAAATGTATAAAATTAAAGATAACATTTATCGGAAAATTCAATATTTTCAAAGGGGTTAACCCACATAATTCAAGAAAAATTAGAATTTTTTTTATTTTTGTTTTAATGCCTATTTGCATCATAAACTGACATAATATTATGATTAAAGAGGTTTGAGACCTTGTGTGTTCTCATTTTTCTAGAAAATAGAGATTTTATAAGGGTTAGAACACTAATTAGATCGTATATGAAGTTTAAATAAATTACTCGTTGAAAAGTTAAAAATGGTGACCATGTACCATTAAAATATGTTTAGCCTACATTAATATACATTGAGAGTGTGGTTTTTTTTATTTTTAAAGAATAGTAAAATGTATAAAGTTAAAGATAACATTTATCGGAAAATTTAATTTTTTTCACTGGGGTTAACCCACATAATTCAAGAAAAATTAGAATTTTTTTTATTTTTTTTTAATGCTTGTTTGCATCATAAACTGACATAGTATTAAGATTAAAGAGGTACGAGACTTTATGTCTTCTCATTTCTCTTGAAAATAGAGATTTTATATGGGTTAGGAAACTAACTAGATCATATATGAATAAATAAATTACTCATTGGAAAATTGAAAATGATGACCATGTACCATGAGAATATGTTTAGCCTACATTAATCTACATTGAGAGTGTGGTTTGGTATTTTTTAAACAACACTAAAATGTCTAAAATTATAGATAGCATTTTTCAGAAAATTCAATTTTTTCAAAGGGGTTAACCCACATATTTCAAAAAAAATTAGAAAATTTTTTATTTTTGTTTTAGTGCATATTTGTATCATGAACTGATTTATTATGAATATTAAAGAGGTTTGAGACCTTTTGTGTTCTCATTTCTCTAGAAAATAGAGATTTTATAGGGGTTAGAACACTAATTAGATCGTATATGAAGTTTAAATAAATTACTCGTTTAGGTAACATTGATTTGGGTATTCCAATAACAGCAACGGTTGAGGAGAGTTGGAAACATAGAAAGAGGCGTCATCGCGTTCTTCTCTTAAACAGAGTTGAAGATGAGATCGAAAAGAGTAGAGCTAGTTGTTCTCGAGAGGTTGAAGATGTTTCTTTGTGGAGTGGGAGTAAGAGTTACAAGAGAACTTTCTCTTCTAAAGACACATGGGATCTCTTGCGAGGAAATACTCTTTTGTGCTCTTGGAGAAATGTTGTTTGATTTAAGTATGCTACACTGAAATACTCTTTTATTATGTGGATTGCTATGAAAGGTAGACTCTCAACTGGAGACAGTATGAGTTCTTGGGGTAGTAACATCAATACTTCATGTGTGTTGTGTTCTGAGCCTTTGGAGACTCTTGAACATTTATTCTTTGACTGTGAGTACTCTTCTCAGGTTTGGGAGGCGTTGATGAAGGGGGTGCTAAGGGATAACTCGATGAGATGGGACATAATCTTGAGACTTATAAGGGATCCAACTTGGAGTAAGATGCATCTGTTTGTTATCAAGTATATGTTTCAAGCAACCGTCTATATGCTGTGGCGAGAGCGCAACAGAAGAAGGCATGGAGAAGCTAAAGCACCGGTGGCTTTAATGATAAAATTGCTTGATAAAAACATGAGAAATAAGCTCACTTTGGTTCAGAGGAAAGGAGATCGGAAAATTGGAGAGGGGATGCAGCTTTGGTTTCAAACGAGATAGATGTGTTGTGCTTTGCATGATGTAGAAGATTGGTGCTGGTTGAGTTTGAGTTTGTGGCCTAGTAGGAGTGAGAGCTAGGTGTCCAGTAGCAGTGAGGGCTGGGTATGGAGATGGTAACCAGTAGGAGTGAGAGCTGGGTGTCTAGTAGGAGTGAGAGCTAGGCATAGTTATGAAAGGTGATGAAAAGGTGATAAGGGAGATGCTTGGATGTTTTGAATGATTTTTTTTACTTGGTTTCATATGATTGTTGTATAGAAACTTAGGAAAGGACACTATGTGTAACAAGGACTTTTTCTTTTTGAATTCAATTTAACATTTAATTCAAAAAAATTTAAATAAATTACTCGTTGGAAAGTTAGAAATTATGACCATGTACCATGAAAATAGGTTTAGTCTACATTAATATACATTGAGAGTGGGGCTAAGTATTTTTAAACAACACTAAAGTGTATAAATTATAGATAGCATTTCTCGGAAAATTCAATTTTTTTCAAAGGGGTTAACCCACATATTTAAAGAAAAATAATATTTTTTTTTTATTTTTGTTTTAATACATATTTTCATCATGAACTGAAATAGTATGAAGATTAAAGAGGTTTGAGACCTTGTGTGTTCTCATCTCTCTAGAAAATAGAGATTTTATAAGGGTTATAACACTAATTAGATCGTATATGAAGTTTAAATAAATTACTCGTTGGAAAGTTAGAAATGATGACCATGTACCATGAAAATATGTTTAGCCTACATTAATATACATTGAGAGTGTGGTTTGGTATTTGTAAACAACATTAAAATGTATAAAATTAAAGATATCATTTATCAGAAAATTCAATTTTTTCAAAGGGGTTAACCCACATAATTCAATAAAAATTAGAATTTTTTATTTTTTTAATGCCTATTCGCATCATAAACTGACATAGTATTAAGATTAAAGAGGTTTGAGACCTTATGTGTTCCTATTTCTCTAGAAAATAGAGATTTTATAGGGGTTAAGAAACTAATTAGATCGTATATGAAATTTTAAATAAATTACTCGTTGGAAAATTGAAAATGATGACCATGTACCATGAAAATATGTTTAGCCTACATTAATATACATTGAGAGTGTGGTTTGGAATTTTTTTCAACAACACTAAAGTGACTAAAATTATAGATAGCATTTATTGGAAAATTCAATTTTTTTTAAGTGGTTAACCCACATATTTAAAGAAAAAGAAGATTTTTATTTTGTTTTTGTTTTAATACATATTTGCATCACGACTGGCATAGTATGAATATTAAAGATATTTGAGACCTTATGTGTTCTCATTTCTCTAGAAATAGAGTTTTTATAGGGGTTAGAACACTAATTAGATCGTATATGAAGTTTAAATAAATTACTTGTTGGAAAGTTAGAAATGATGACCATGTACCATGAAAATATGTTTAGCCTTAATATACATTGAGAGTGTGGTTTGGTATTCTTAAACAACACCAAAGTGTTTACAATTATAGATAGCATTTCTCGAAAAATTCAATTTTTTCAAACGGGTTAAACCCACATATTTAAAGAAAAATAAGAAATCTTTTTATTTTTGTTATAATACATATTTGCATCATGAACTGACATAATATGAATACTCAAGAGGTTTGAGACCTTTTATGTTCTCATTTCTCTAGAAAATAGAGATTTTAAAGGGGTTAGAATATTAATTAGATCGTATATGAAGTTTAAATAAATTACTCGTTGGAAACTTAGAAATGATGACCATGTACCATGAAAATATGTTTAGCCTACATTAATATACATTGAGAATGTGGTTTGATATTTTTTAAACACCACTAAAGTTTCCAAAATTATAGATATCATTTTTCAGAAAATTGAATTTTTATTATAGGGGTTAACCCACATATTTCTTTATTTTTGTTTTAATGCCTATTTGCATCATGAACTAACATATTATGAATATTAAAGAGGTTTTAGACCTTGTGTGTTCTCATTTCTCTAGAAGTAGAGATTTTATAGGGGTTATAACACTAATTAGATCGTATATGAAGTTTAAATAAATTACTCGTTGGAAAGTTAGAAATGATGATCATGTACCATGAAAATATGTTTAGCCTACATTAATATACATTGAGAGTGTGGTTTGGTATTTTTTTAAACAACAGTAAAATGTCTAAAATAAGCCAAAAAATAACCGAAAATACATGCTAGCTGCATGGTTTGAACACACGCACTTACAAAATTAATTAAGCGCTTTAAACCATACAACCAAAGTGTAATTCATTTTTAGTAATCATTTTAGAAAGACTATGAGTTTTAAAAATTAAATGTGCGGGAGCCACAAAATATTGACGTGGTGCATTGTAGAGCTTAGAAACTCTACTATTATAATATAGATTTTTGGTCAAAACTTTAATATTTTCCTAACTGTCTTAATATAGTGGTATATATACTTTAGTTTGCACTGTATTTTCCCAAATTCAAACCATATAGCATATAATTTTTTAAAAAAATTTCTAGACGTACAAAAACCAAGATGTATTAAAAACTTATTCAGAAATTATCAAACTTATATAAAACAATAATCAAAGGTACAAAAAAAAAAAAAATAATAATAATAATAATAATAATCAAAGGTACATGAACAATATTTTGATTACTTGAAAATTTGAAATACTCAAATCTCGTAGATGACTTCAGCTCAAATTAGAGTGAAACAGTGGGCTCACTACCCAAAACTTTTCAAGTATTATGGGCCACTAGTGGGCTTAGTATGTTTAGTTGATCAAAACCCAATATCTCTTCCTCGTCTCGGCATTTTTGTCCCAGTCTCTCTCTCTCCCTTCGCCGGACTCCGTCGCTTCCTATATTCCAGGTACGATACGGGGGTTAATTTCTAGAACTTGCAAAGTATACTTGGCAGTTATTACAATATATTTAGTTTCGTAGGACTAGGCTATTGAGATTCTACCTCGAGAATCTGGAACAAATGTCACACTGGATTGATGTCTACCACCTGTTTGATGAAATGTCTGAAAGAAGTAAAATGCTGGAGAGTTAAAAATGTATGATGTTGATTCTTCTACGTTTTTTATAAATCTAGGATGTCCACATCACACATAGTCTTTGTTCTGATATGATTAATAAGTCTGAAGATTTAGCTTAAAATTGAATAACTCAATTCTAGATATAATGTGATTATATCATCACTTGGAGTTGCATTTGCTTATGTGAATACAGTTTCCTGTTACTCTCTGTTTGCGTCGTTTACGTGTTACAGGTGTTTAAACCTTGGTCTTAAGCTGTGTTGATGATTAGTGAAAGTTAAGAGTTTTCTGCTTAGTTCTTTTTTAATTCCTCTAAATGTGTTTAAAAGGTTTACACTTTGTTTCTCATTGCAGACTTTTGTAGAGTAAGAGAGAGACAAAGATGGTGATTCCACCTGCAGTGAGACCACCACGTCTCTTCGACTACCTCAAACCTTACGTCCTGAAGCTGCACTTCACCAACAAGTTTGTTCACGCACAAGTCATCCACTCACCAACAGCCACAGTGGCTTGCGCTGCGAGCTCACAGGAGAAGGCATTGAGGGAAACAATGGAGGTCACACGCGACGTGGATGCTGCTTCAAAGATTGGTAAAATCCTTGGGGAAAGACTCTTGATGAAAGAGATTCCAGCTGTTGCTATTCACATGAAGAAAGAGCAGAGGTATCATGGTAAAGTCAAGGCTGTGATTGATTCTGTCAGGGAATCTGGTGTCAAGTTACTTTGAGGATGGATTGTTCAACAATAATTCATGAACACAAATCAATTTCCCTCCATGTTGTTATTTCTGAACATTGCTTTTGCTCATGTTATAAACTTCTAAGCTTTAGACTATTGAAATAATGAGACTATATACAGAGTAATAAAGAAAGTGTTTCTGTTCTAAAACCAAAGTAGAATTGGGTATTCGGGTCGACCCGTTTTGTGTCTTCCTCCCCGACCAGACTTGATGAACTTTTAAGTCACGAGTACTCTTGTCTTCTTCGTCTTTTATCTGAACTTTTGCTTCGACTTTCGATCAAAGATGGGAAGATGTTCAACGAAGAAGGTGTATCTGATTCAAAGTCCGATTCTGTTTCTTCATCTCATGATCTCATTCTCATCCGGTTAGTCCACAAACCTTAGGGTTCTTGTGATTCACATTTCCATTTGATCTGTTTGTTAGATTTCAGAAAGTGGGTATTGTAGATTTCGGATTCTATAACTCAAAGTCTCAATCTTTATGTCGTTTGGATCAATCTTGACTCGTTTGATGCAAACCAAATTTAGTTTTGTGTTCTGTTCCTCAGCTTGTGTTTGTTCATGTGGGTTCAATGTTCGTTTTGAGATTGGTATATTCATGAAAGTGGTAGTCTTTGCAATGAAAAACTTATCAAAGCTGTTCAATTTGAGTGAAATGCTCTGTTTTTGGATCATCTTGATTAGTCTGATGCAAACCAAATTGATTAGAAACTGAGTTTTGCGCTTTGTTCCTCAGCTTGTTGTTGTTCATATGGATTCAGTGTTCGTTTTTGATTGGTATATTCATGAAAGTAGAAGTCTTTGTAATAAAAACGTACCAAAGCTCTTCAATATGAGTGAAACACTCTGTTCTGATACAGCTTGATTACTCTGATGCAAACTAAATTGATTAGAAACGGAGTTTATTAATTGTTCCCCAAATTGTTGTTGTTCATTTGGGTTCAGTGTTCATTTTGAGATTGGTCTATTCATGAAAGAATAATCTTTGCAAATAAAAAAACTAATTAAATCTGTTTAATTTGAGTGAAAAATGCTCTGTATTTGGGGATGCTCTTTGCTTAAGAATGCTCTGTTTCTCAGGTGCAGTGAAGTCGGATTCGAGAGGAGTATGCGTATCTAAAGGAGGACGCTTTCCACCATATGAATCACAAGGAAAGCCTCCTAACTCTGTTGGTAGAGGATCCAAGGATCTTATAATGTGCCGTGTGTTCCGTAAAAGTACATGTTGCTCTCCTGCTCAGACAATCCCAGCTTTCGTAGCTGTCAGAAACTTAGCTACTCATGGAGAAGCTAGTCAAGACTGTCTGCATTTGTTCGAGCTATTAGAGTGTTCAATCTGTAACCCGAACGTCGGTGTTCAACCCGGTCCTCCTCGCATTTGCGCCTCCTTTTGTGACAGAGTCTTTGAAGCTTGTAAAGACGCATACTTCGCTAGTAATGCACTTACACAGGTAAGAGTCATAAACAAACAGACAAACACATGAGCTTTTGCTTTGTAGAATCTAATGATTTCCATATATGCTTAGACGATTGGTCCCTGTGGAGTACATGACGACATCATCTGCGTTAAGGCCTCAAATTGGGAGTCTAACGGCACATCATTCTGTGAAGCAGCTGGTTTCTCTGTTCAGACAAATGAAGATTCTAGAGAAGAACCGTGTTACGGAAGCAAAGCAAGTCTAGAATCAGTGGTGGAATCATGGTCTAGAGACTCGAAGAAGAAGACCTCTTTCAGGACAGAAACTTTGTCATGTTTTAAAGATCTTCTGCAATGGGTTCGTGTAATGACAACTATTCAGAAGGTTTCTTTGGGTGTGTCGTTTCTTGTTGCAGGAATGTTCTTGATCAGGTTTGGCCTTTTTGTCTCTTCTCTCTAAGGCTTTAACACCTCATCGTGTACTAACACTTTGCTTTGGCTGTTACAGGCAATGGAATAACCTTAAGCAGAAGCAGAGACTAGCTGCGATACAAAAAGCTGCTAGAAGATTGGGAGGGGATGTGAATGGAGATTCATACACTGCAGCTTTAAATAGAAGAATAGTTCAAGATTGATTTTTTTTTTACCAATGAAAGATGTTTAGTTGCAAAAGCCATGAACTAACTGTTATTGAAGTCTCTCAAGTAAAGTTTTGCCAAATGCTAGAAGTATTGTGTTTGAAATGTGGATGATATGCAAAAGGGTTTTTACAACAAGTAAAAGAAATGAGCAAGAAGTGAAAATCTAGTAGAGACACTCACTCTAACTTAAAAAACTAAAAAAGGTTAAAAAGAAGCAAGAAAGAGGCTATCAAAGGAGATACAGAACTCTAGAAGCAGAAGATAGATTATTCTGCATCTATACACATAAAAAGAAGTGTGTTTTTGTTTTTTTTCACACTTTTTTTACACAGAAGTTGTTTGAAGATGATTAAAAGGACCCTTTGGATTCTTCATTGCTGAGCTTGAGCTATGAAACCGTCATCTTCAGAAAGAAGACTAATTAGACTTCTTTGGTACCTGATAAAGAGAAAACATAATGTAAATGAACCTAAGGTTTTGTTGCAAAGAGTATAATAAGTTTTTCTTTTTCCATGTTTTTCAGAAGATTTCAAGTTTTAGATGAAGCATTGTGTTCTTGGTAGAAACGAACCTTCTTGAGAGGTTGACCGCTGCTAGAAGCTGTGGCGGGTTTCATAATCTCGAAAGAGCAAACAAGAGACTCGTCCACGCTCAATAATGCACCTGCATTGTCAAACTCTCCACCATAGTTTGGAGCTGAGAATATCGTGACTAGTCTCCGTTTTGCAAAAAACTCATATCCATCTTCCACTACCTGCAACACAAAACCATCACACATGACCACTAACGTCTCTAGCTTTAAGCTAAACTCAAATCAAACTCCAAATGTTCCAGTTTTGCTTAATTTTACCTGATGGCCACGGCAAATGAGGTCAAGATCATTCTTATCCAAGAACTCAGCGACTTTATCAGCTCCAAAAATACAAGAAATGCCTCGATCACTATCACCCCACCCTTCAATCTTCTGGTCAGGATCCGACCAAAGCAAATCACAAAGAAGACCACTGTCTGGAATCTCAGTAGGCCTCTCAATCTCTCGAATCTGATTCAAATTATCCAACTCCGGTGACAAACCACCGTGCATGCACAAGATCTTGCCGTCAATGAGTGCAGCTACGGGTAAACAGTTAAAGCAATCAGTAAAAACCTTCCAAAGACGTACGTTGAATCTCCTCTTGCACTCGTCGTAGAATCCGTAAATCCTGTTGATCTTAGCGTCCTCGTGGTTGCCTCTCAAGAGAAATATCTTTGATGGGTAACGGATCTTGTAAGCAAGGAGTAGACATATGGTCTCGAGACTTTGCTTGCCTCTGTCAACGTAGTCGCCAAGGAAGAGAAAGTTTGCTGAAGGAGGGTAGCCTCCGTATTCGAATAGCCTCAGAAGATCTTGATATTGGCCATGGATATCACCTGATAACAAAAGATGCTCAGAACTCAGAGAGTAACCCTAAAGTTTGCTACTTCACTCCCAATCTTCAAGATTAACCTTAAATTCTCAGAGAAACCCTAAATGTTGCTACTTTCACGCCTCAATTACAATACCCACATGCTCAAATTCACAGAGAAACCCTAAATTTTGCGACTTTCACCCCCCCCATTATCAAGATAAACCTTAAATTCACAGAGAAACCCTAATATTTTGCTATATTCGCCCCTAATTAAAATACCGAGATGCTTAGCTCCCTAAAAGTTTGCTAGTTTCACTCCCAATTACAGACCCATATGCTCAAATCACATAGAAACTCTAAAGCTTGCTACTTTCACCCTCACTTACAATACCCAGATGCTTAAATCCCTAAAAGTTTGCTACTTTCACCCCCAATTGCAATACACAGATGTTCAAATTGCAATACACAGATGCTCAAATTGCAATACACAGATGCTCAAATCCCTAAAGGTTGCTACTTTCACCTCCAAACTACAATACCCAGATGCTCAAACTCACGTAAAAACCCTAAAGTTTGCTACTTTCAGCCCCAATTACAATACCCAGCTGCTCAATTACCTAAAGTTTACTACTTTCACCCTCAATTGCAATACCCAGATGCTCAAATCCCTAAAATTCTGCTACTTTCACTCCTAATTACAATACCCAGATGCTCAACTTCACATAGAAACCCTAAAGTTTACTACTTTCACACCCAATTACAATACCCAGATGCTAAAATCCCTAAAGTTAGGTACTTTCACACCCAATTATTCAATTTTCATCATGCAAAAAGAGAGAGAGATTACCGCAGATGCGAATAGGGGCATGTAGCTCAAGGAGATTAGGTTGAGAGAGGAAGATTTGACGGGCGTTGAAGCAGAGTTGACGAATCTCGCTCTCCGACAGCTGAACCTGTTTCCCTCCTTTACCTTCTAGCAATCTCCTTATTATATCATCCAACACTCCTTTCTCCACCATCCCTTCCATACTCGTCATCATCTTCTCCTTCTCTCAGATCCCCAAATTTTTATCCTCAACAGAATCAAAAATTGGTACAAAGGGTTTGCTCGAAAGCCGACGAGGAATAACGGGTCGTGTTTATGTACCGATTAAGATTAATTTCTTTTTGTCGGAGAAAATGTGAGAAACGTGAAATAATGGAGGGAGGGGTCAAAGAATGAGAACCCAGGAGAAATGTATATTTTGGCTTTTTGTATTATTCAGAGGAGGAGAGTTGATCATATGGTGGAAGAGAAGATAACAAATGAAATAATCTGGAAGGGTGATAATAATATAATACGGGAAATTTAAAAATAAATCCAAAACTTTTAAGACATTTCGAAAGTTGACATTGATTTATACACCCCACATTATACATACTTATCAATTTTTATATTTATATCGGCTGATTCGGTCAGTCTCGAGAAGAACACACTTAGTGTTATAGAGTAGATTATTTACCACACCAACAAACTCAAGTTTAGAATATCTTCTGATTAGTGTTAGAGATGAACCGACCTATTAAATCCAATATATAAATCATTTGAAACGAAATTCAAAATAAAATTGACCAAATAATGATAATTTAATTTTTAGTGACAATCAAACCTACATTGTTTTATTACCAACATACATTGTTTTTGCAGATCTAATCTTAGTGTAGACGATGTATATGAATATCAAGCAACTTGTATCAAAGTGGAAATACTCATGAAATTTCTCATTTAGCAACTGGTTTAGTTTTTTTTAGTAAAGGTGACTGAAAATAAGTGCATTCATAAAATCTCCACTAGCTCGTTGAATGAATTGGGCTGATCATCATCTGCATAAACAACGGCATGACGTCGGTAATGAAATTAAAAAATTCCACTAGTTGTTAGATAATCTGATAACTTCCATTGACCGCATTGTCCACAAAATTGCAAAATCCTATGTCATGTTTTCGTAAGCAAGTCCAACACACATAAAACAAAATAAAAAAGTCCAACACACATATATGGGCTTGTGATTTGGGCCCAAAGAGCTAAAGTCATGAAAACCTAAAACGCGCACGAGCTAAGCTCCTATAAATGAAGAAACCCTAGTTTCATTTTCATCTTCCTCCGTTAGCAGACGCCATGGTATGTACTCACTTATCTCTGCCACCCAAATTACCCTTTTATTTATTTTTGATCTAGTAGCTTTAGGTGATAAATAGATTTTCGAATGTTGTGTTCTGTAATTATCATTAGCTTATAGTTAGTGAGATTGAGGTTTTAATTCTGGTACACGTGTTTTTGGTCTTGTGGTTGTTTTTAGGGTATCGATCTTATCGCAGGAGGTAAGAGCAAGAAGACCAAAAGGACAGCTCCAAAGTCCGATGATGTCTACCTCAAGCTTCTCGTCAAGGTAGTTAAATCTCTATTACTAGTTGTCTGAATCTCTATGAGTTCTTGTCTGAATCGTATGCCACATTGGTTTTAATTTGGCAGCTATACCGGTTTTTGGTGAGGAGAACCGGAAGCAAGTTCGATGCTGTGATTCTCAAGAGGCTTTTCATGAGCAAAGTCAACAAGGCTCCTCTTTCACTCTCCAGGCTCGTTGAGTTTATGAATGGAAAGGTTTGTTTTCTTGAGAGCCACTCTACATTTGTCTTATTAGGGAGTAATTAGATTTAAATTGTTTTTTTTTATTTACTATAGGATGGTAAGATTGCTGTGTTGGTTGGGACTATCACTGATGATTTGAGAGTTCATGAGATTCCTGCAATGAAAGTTACTGCCTTGAGGTTTACGGAGAGAGCTAGGGCTAGGATTGAGAAAGCTGGTGGAGAGTGTTTGACCTTTGACCAGCTTGCTCTCATTGCTCCTTTGGGACAGAACACGGTGAGTTATTATTTGGAAATGATTCAAATGCTTTGAGAGGTTTAGTATTAATGAAATTGAGATGTGATGTGTTGTGACAGGTTCTTCTTAGAGGACCAAAGAACTCTCGTGAAGCAGTGAAGCACTTTGGACCAGCTCCTGGTGTGCCACACAGTCACTCGAAGCCTTATGTTAGGGCTAAGGGAAGGAAGTTTGAGAAAGCTAGAGGAAAGCGAAAGAGTCGTGGTTTCAAGGTTTAAGAAATATCTCTCGATTGTTTTCGAGGTTGTTGCTTCCTTGTATGGTTGCTGCTTTCATAATCAGAATTTTTGTAGACCACTCTTGTTACTCTGCCTTTTTCAGACATTGTTTTCAGTTTTCATTTCTGTTTTAATCGACAATTTAATGTTTTACTGGTTAGCCTTTTATGAATTTTCCTATTAATAATCACCAATAGACTTGACATAAGAAGAGGTTGCTTAATAAATGATCAGCTGATGAAGCTTTTCGAGTAAGAACACAATAAAGCTTAATTGTGTAACAAAAGACTTGGATGAGGAGTTTTTATGCAATTCGGCAATGCTCGCTTACTGGGTTGGGCTAGTCAACGGAGTTTGGGCCTATATGGTTAATGCTAGTTTGCTACTTTGCTAACGCCTAACCAAAGAAAAATGTCTATATAACATTTGAAGCCAAACAAATCACGTAGACTTGATGAACACACATGATCACTAAATTGTTACTGATTACTTAAAACAAAAAAAATTATGATATTTTGAACATTTCCAAAAGTCAGTTTAAATGATTCATATGCACATTCGGTGTCTAGGGTTTGATTTTTACTAAATTAATAACATATATAGCAAGATTTACTAATTGATTTTCAATAAATTAGTAACATATATACCAGATTAACATGAATTTTACAAAGCTAATCATATACAAAATCCTCAAGGTTTTGTCATTTTCTTGAGTAAAAAGCACAGATACATACACACGACCTCTAGTTAGACACAATCTTAAACAGAGCTTTCCGGAGAAGCAGAAGGTGAAACTGAAGGAGTAGCCGATGGTGAAGCTGAAGGAATAGCTGATGGAGAAGCTGAAGGAGAAACTGAAGGAGTAGCTGTAGGAGTAGGAGTAGCTGATGGTGAAGCTGATGGTGAAGCTGAAGGAGTAGCTGTAGGAGTAGGAGTAGCTGAAGGAGAAGCTGTTGGTGAAGCTGAAGAAGTAGCTGAAGGTGTAGCTGAAGGTGTAGCTGAAGGTGTAGCTGATGGTGAAGCTGAAGGAGTAGCTGATGGTGAAGCTGAAGGAGTAGCTGATGGAGAAGCTGATGGTGAAGCTAAAGGAGTAGCTGAAGGTGACCCTAAGCCACTGGTTTCAGTGACGGTCGAGACCCCTGGGGCAGCCGCTGGAGAATCTGACCCTGTTATAGTACTAGTAGAATCCGGTTCGCTTGAACCGGTAGTTGTGGAATTAGAGGAAGCAGCATCACTTACCGAACCGTTTCCAGCGAAAAAACCGGGTGTGTAAGGAACCCCTTTACCCGGAATCCACTCATCACCTTGTATATACTTAGCCGGAGTGTACTCAACAATCTCCTCTTCACTCAACTTCTTGATTCCTTTCCAAGTAACCCGGTTAGCCAAACCAGCACCCGGTCCAGTATTCCTCACCTCCGAGTAAAAAAGCGTGTCAAGACCAAAATCTCCTTGCCACACCGACCATCCTTCACCCGGAATAAAATCAGGTATAAACGTCTCCATAATAATAGTTTTCGAATATTCTTTCCACGGCCTTCCAAGATAAGCTTTACTAGTTTCCTTGACAGCCAAGTAATCTGCTTCACCAGCGATAGTACACCCTTGGATCACAAACCCTGTGGACTCTCTAGGATCTTTACGTCCGTTTGCGGTTATAGGACATGCCTGGTTCTCGAGTGGCTTCCTTACTAGTAATGTACAGTTTTGGAATACTGCTGCTGCGTCTCCAAAGAGGAAATCTATGGTCCCTGAGATGGTACAGTCTCTGTAGAATTGACGGTGGGAATGTGCGTAGAGAGTGTCTTGGTAACCATCGAATTTACAATTGTAGAATATGGATTCGTCTGACATGACCCTCATGGCAACAGCTTGATGGCTTATGGCCCCGGCTGTGTTCTCGAAACCCATGTTCTTGGCAATGAAGTTGTCTCCAACGATTGCTGCAATAAGGGGACAAGGCTCACTCGTCATATACATCTATACTATTATTTGCGAAGTGATTTTTCGCAATGGAGCTCTCACGTTAAAAGTTAGAACGGTTAATATCTATTTTACCCTTAATGAAAATTTTATATATAACTAATTTTATAATTAAAAACGAAATTTAAAAATTAAAATTAGATAAGTATGTCATTATCTTAGATAACTGAGAATAATTAATATAATAAGTTTAAAAAAATAAAAAATAAAAGATAATTCTTATATATGTTATTATTATCTGAATATAATATTGTAACAACATGATAATGCCTATATATTTTAATTTTATATATAATTTATTTTGTCTTTTGAAGATAATATCATTCAATTATAAAATTTAAAATTAAAATAAAAAAATTGATTTTAATTAAATATTAATCAAACAAAAACATTTGTATAAAGATACTTTTAATTATATAATAAAATATTAGATATTATGCAACGAAAAAATTAAAAAATCTATGCAATATAAAAGGTTAATAAATTCGATTATAAATATTAGATTAATTAAAAATATTAATTATACATATAAAAGGTTATTATACTTTTAATGAAATTTATATATATATATATATATATATATATATAAATTAGTTAAAACGAATTTTATGTTAGTGATTGAAAATTATATTTATTATATTAGTTAGTTTATTATAAATTAGTAGGATAAGTATCCACAATCATGCATATTTAAAACATAAGATATCTCATAGAATATTATACAGTTATCTGGAAATAATATTTTTATTTTGAAAAATAAAAATGTAAGTTATAAAAAAATTTAAAATTCAAAATTAAGAAAAATATAAATATATTTTCAAAAATATTTTATTATGTGGATATTTTTCAACACTATAATAAACATATATATTTTGATGAAAATTCATATAAAATTGTATTACGGTTTGATTTAGGTTTTTTAAAACTATAAAAAATAATTTATAATATTATTTAGAATTAATAAAATAAAAAATACTAAATATTTGTATCAAAATTATGTCCGCATATGCGGGCACAACACCTAGTTTTGGTAATAATTAAGACACACCATAAAAAGTAAGAGCAGTGCAGTTAGATCATGTTAAAACAGTATTAACTATATACATATTAAAAAAAAATTATATAGTTTTAAAACCTTATAATTCCATCTATATATCTTTAATTAAAAATACATACCCTATTTTTTATAAAATTATTAAAATAAATCTATCTTTATCTTTCTCCTTTTAATTTATATCTAGACTTTAAATTCTGCAGCAGATAAACTTGCTAAATCTGCAATTTGTATTACTAACCTCTTCTCATCCCTAGTTTCAGGGACTGAGCTTCCTAATATATGTTTGGTGTTCAAAAAAATAAAATAAATCTTAGGTTTTAATAAATACATGTATTTTATTTTAAACGTATAGACTATGTTAGACTGCTCCACAGTCCACCCACTTAGGTTTGATATAAGACAAATAAAAAGTATCATAAGAGAAGAATAATGTTCTTAAGTTACGTTGTGTTATGTTGTGCCATTGTAGCTAAAATCTATTGTGGAGGTGGATACACCTTTGTATCCATGATTAAGTGGTTAATGGAAAGTTCATGTTGACCAAAAAAAATATATAAATCATAAGAATCATTACCGACGGTGGCGGTACGGTATGTAGTAATACCGTCCTTGAAACTTTTATTACCGGAAATGATTGATTTGTCAGGGCCATCACCGATGAAAACAAGATTTGGCATAGACCTATTCACCTGAACATATTCTTTATAGATTCCTCCCTTAATATGAAGCACAAAAGTTGCGTTACTCTTCTTAGGAACGTTTTCTATTGCCTCATTGATCGTTTTGTACTGACCACTCCCGTCTTGAGCCACAACCATATCTGGTTTGATCTCAGACAATGGAGCATTCAAGAGCCTACGCATACGCCCATCCACCCACGAAGGAAACTCTTGAGACAACAGCCGGCGACTATTCATCTCAGGCAAGTCCATTTGTCCTAAGTAATTCAACATCTCACTGACCATTGCAAGCCCGTTATGTGTTAACTGAATTGCGGTTTTCAGTGCCTTCTTCATCGTCTCACCTGCATCTCCTTGTGTCCCTTGAAACCCATCGAGACAAGTTTGCTCATGACTAATGGTCGCGCTGAGCCAAACCTTTAGCTTAATCAATGCGTCGTCAACCTTGTTAATGAATAAATCAAGTCACAAAACGGTGATGGGAAAAATAATTAACTAAGATATAAAAGAACATGATCAATCCACTAAAAATATCACAAAACAGCCACAATTTTTTTTAATCACAAAATAGCTATGAAAAATGACTAAAGTATATTTATTAAATAACAACAAAGCGTATATACTCTTATGATTAATTAATTTATACTTACGATTTAGTTTTTGGGAAGGTAGGGCTTACTGTACATAATTTCGGATTTAGAATATATATATATATATATATATATATATATATATATATATGTTTACAAATATATATTCAAAAATTCTCTACGATAGACCTTAAAAAGTTTTTGTGACATATATATACATTAAAAATAAAAATGATAAAAATAGATTTAAATTTTTTTATAAATATAAGTAAATATACACTTATATCCTTTGGATTAACTAATCCTAGACTTTTTTTTTAGAGTTGAGGAGTTGAGTTTTACGGGTAGAATGTCAAATTTTAAAAACTAAAAAAAAAACTGAAAATTTTCAAAACAAAAAAAAATGTTATTTTAGTCATTTTAGTTTTTGAAATCTATTTTCATGATAAAAAATTAAAAAGGTCTATTTGAGAAATTTGCCCATATATATATTTATATAAAATGTATTTTTCAACTTTTTTGAAAATTATTTGTCCAGTTATCACCAATTGGTTTTAAGTTGAAAATTTATGATAAATTCCAAATTTTACAAACCTTGTGAAGTTCGAACTTTCCCAACTCTTCAAAAGATTTACTAAGCTCGCCGGTAGCATAATCCATTAGCTCCTTGCATTGATCTAAAGCCATCTTTGTCCTTGGATCTTTTTGTATCTCAATCATAGTCAGTGATTTCTTCGCCACATTACTTATCTGTTTCATCGTTGCGTTAAACCCTGTCCTCACAAGCTCCAACGGGTCCGATATGTCCTTTGCATCTTTCCTTAGAGTATCTTCACATGTCTTCTTGTAATCCGTTGGCGCGCAGACATCTTTGATGGCTTTAACGGAGGCCGTGATCTCTTCTTTAGTTCCGTTATCGTTATTGAAGCTAACGCCGATGGTAACAGCCACAACCATGGAAACAAGAAGTACAGAGGAGATGGAGATAACTACGTACCTCCTTTTCCTCTTGGAATCATCATTGTCGTATGATCCGAATGCCATTTAATTTATTTTCTATTATTTTTTTTTTAGTTTTTATTGTTTTTGTATAGACTCCTTTTACGAAGCTTACGTAGCCTCTTTAGGAGTGTTTATTTTGCATAATTTTAAAAATATTTACAATGATAGTTTTTGTTTTACGACAGATAAAGAGGTTTGTAGTTTTGCTTGCTATGTTTTATGAGGTTTGGCGGGAAAGTCGTTATGCTTAAGATCGTGAGAGACAGAGATAAGATAGGGTTGTGGTTTGGTTTTGTCCTTTTATTTTTCTCTCTATGAGTTACTAAACATGGAGAGGTAATTAAGTCATTGATAATCTTAATTTAAGGTATAATCGATCTAAAATTACAAAATAGAGTTTTTTAATGCCTTGGATAAGTTGTTAAACAAAAATGAATGAGATGATCTCTTTTCGTGCTTATTGATCTTAAATGGGTATATATATTCTATATTACATGCCCTGAGTACATATAGATTTAGGAATATTAATATCTATATTTAAGAAATACAACAATTCTACAACACATCACATGGTAGGGTAAAGATTTCAAATCCAGATTTGTTCTAATTTATGAATGTTCGTAATTACTTAGATATTAGTCTAGATCTCTTGTAGAAAAAGGTCATCTATATAACACATCATATAGGGTTTGAATTCCAATTTTCTTAACAATGAAATCATAGTTCTAGGGATATTTTGTAAATAGAATCATAAAGTAAAGAGAAAATTTGAAGACTAATGTTTGTGAATAAAATTGGACATATATGCATGGGGAGAGAGTAAGACCTACAAGATTTAGACGTAAGGGTAAGCTTTACTTTCACTGGCTATCAATAAAGGTACTCATAAGATCTGTCAAATAGTTTTAGAAAATCTCTTACAAACATACGCATACTTACTCCCACTCGGTTTTAGAGCATCTCCAACCTGATTCCATAATTTACTACAAAATGAAATAAGAAATAAAGTTATGAAGAAATAAAAAAAAATAGTCTATAAATAGAATAATGATTTTTTTTGTTTCTTCATCACTCCATTTTCCATTCTATTTTGCAGTAAATTATGGAATGCAGTTGGAGATGCTCTTAATACATAACTACATGTGGCATCTAAAGCTGGTTACAAAATTATGTGCTTATTGTAGGGGATGAGAACTTGTCACCTGTAAAACAGAATTACAAGAGCTCAAGCCACTATACTACAAGATTAATAATAATGTTGCTAAAAGTTATAAAAATGTTGGTATCTTGTTTTATTTATGGGTTCAATCACAATGGTAGTTTCTTACCATGGAGTTCTCAAATTATATACTGATGTATGTATACAAAAGTATACTAAAAAATTTTGGAAACTCAACCAATAATATCTCACTTTACATATTATTGGTTGAATTTCTAAAAAAATAATATACTCTTAATTAAATAATAATAATTATATATACATATACCAATATATAATTTGAGAACTCTATGGTACAAAACTACCATTGGAGATGTTCCATGACCTTGAATTTACAACAAACCAACATATTATGTACGTAGAAATAAGTCAGTATTGATGGTATATCTTGGATATTATTTTACACAATAGTTCTGTAGTCTGATTTAAGGGGGAAAAATTGACACACAATTGGTATTCAACCTTTCTTTTTCTGTATATATATATATATATATATATATATATATATATATATTTGAAAATAATATATTAGGAATAAAGTTCATGCATCATATTGTCATCTTGTCTCTTTTTGGGTATTTTTCTCCCAATTAAAACATATAACGTCAAAGCTGACTAGGACCCAAAAATCTACTAATCTCACAAGTTTTTATTGAATAAATAATAAATATAATTTCAAAAGTTTTTGACTAAATAATAAATATAATTTCACTTTGGTCAAAAAAATAAAAATAAATAAATATAATTTCACATGTTTTTTACTTATTTTTCTCTAATGGCAAAGAAGCAACTGTAGTTGGTAGTCAAGCAGGTTAAGAAACAAGTATGGTCTTGTAGTCATTAGGACCGGCCCTGGGCCATGCCTAGTGAAACATTCGTCTCAGGTTCTCAAAAATTTTGAAAAAAAATTACATGAATATGAGTCTCTAAAATTTTTTTTAAGGCCCCCAAAAATTTTTATACATAGAAATCGCGAAAGACCCTAAAATCTCAGAGCCGGCCCTGGTAGTCACTGCAATTTCTTTTTATTTAAAAACAATATTTTCTATAAATTTAGTGAAATATAATTTAAGAAAAAAGATGTAAAAGATACTGCTTTGACTAGTAAGCTTATTAGCTGTAATTCCTTTTTAAATATATGTTTTTTGAGGAATAATATATATACATATATCTCTACACGGAAAATATATATGCATTACATATTAGTTGTATTTAGACCAGAACCATTTAAGAAAAAAGATGACTACAGAAACACAAAATAACTAAGTGGTATATATTACGTAAGCACACACGAATATATACACCTATTCCAATTAGTGTTAATCAAGAGTTATAAAAATGTTTCCATACGTATTTCCCAGGAAGGTAGACTGCGTAAAAATCAACAGAATGAAAGAAATAACCTTAACTTCTAGGATATGGATTCAAAAAGTGTAATTTGGTGTTACTCTTAATTCAACACATTGGAGATTTAATACCATAATTGTTTTTTTTTTTGAAACTAATACCATAATTGTTAAGTAACAATAAAGTTACCTTCTCAATATATAGCATCCTCATTTCTCCGAATCCATAGCACAAAACATATAAACATCACTTTCCAATCCAAAGAAAAATATTTGGCTTAAGGAGAACGAAGTTATGTCTTCTTCTTCTAGCTCTTCCGTGACCCAACCCAAAAAATGCAATGACACTATCGTGGCCATGGAGAAGGCAAGGGAGAGCCAAGATGTGTCTTCTGCAAGCTCTTCAGCGCCCCAACCAGAAAAACCCAATGACATTACTGTGGCTGTGGACGAGAATCCGGGACAAGGGTCTCGTCGAGAAGTTGTATCTGAGAGGAGGAGTGAGAACCCTAGTGCTGTCCCAAGAGGAAGTGAGAATATCATGCAGCGTTACCCACCAAAATCTAGTAAGATCTACACTTGTAACATTTGCAAAACAGGGTTCCCAACAATTCAAGCCCTAGGTGGTCACCAGAACGCGCACAAGCTGGAGAGAGAGTGGGAAAAGAAGAGGAAGGCTATGGAAAAAGAATTCCCCGGGTTCGCATTTTTGAACCCTAAAATAGACAATTCTCATTTGTTTTTCTTAGGTGGCTATTCAGAAGATGCTTTATCAAATGATAATCATCTTGGGATCCCTGATGAATCTTTCAAACGCAGATTAATTAACGGTGTTTATCCATACTTCAACTACGGATTCTCGGACATGAACGTTGCCGTGGTTCCTCGCATGCCTCCTACTCACTTCTTCGGAGGAAACCCTTTCACCTACGGGTCTTATCCAGGAGGATTTGGGCCTAGACCCCCTTACAACACCTACCACTCGATGCTCCCTAGAAACGTTCCTCCTTTTTGGACCAGCAATCCTCCTAGCGGTTTGTATCCGCAACGGAATGTATTGAACGAGGAGGATGTTGTCTTAAAGCTAGGAAATGACAATATTGTGGTGATTGTTGATGATGATGATGATGATGTTGCTGCTGGTCAGCCACAAGAAGGGACATCTAAGAGCTGGGGCGCTGATTTATCTCTTTGATAATTGTTTAGTTTTCATCTTGAGCTATCATTCTGAATAATGTGTTGTTCTCTTTTTTTCTTTTTTTTATTGCATTTCGTTTAGATGTTCCTTTTGGTTTGTAGCATCTCATCTTCTAGTTGATTTGCTTCTTTTTATCAATATATGATTCCTTTTTTTCTTTTTTTTGTTGCCATCTTTATAACATGAGTTTTTTAATCATTTTGGTAATAGTCAAAATCCTTGGTTGTAGGGATTAGGGAAGCCATTTCTACCCAGGTTATGTGTCTTGATTTCGAACCTTTCGATTTAGAACTATGGCTCCCTATTTCTTGTTTACATATACTTACATTTCTTGATAATGTCAGTCGTCGAGTTATTAGCATTAGTATATGAGAACGCGAAGAAATTTGAGTTCCAGGATGGGAGTATATTATATGTATATTACATGGTATGCACCATAGTGCTATAGATAAATATTTTCATTGCAAAAAGAAAATGACTTAGGATCGTCTCAAATAAATTTTAAACCATATTCAATAAAAATTAATCATATATTTATGATTTAATGATTTTTTCTTAAAGTTAATAACTATGTTTGATGTTTCTTTAAAAATTATAAGTTCTAATCTAGCAATATATCTAAATTTTTTTTTCAATTATCATAATTTATCTATATGTTTTTTAAAAATTCTTAATTTTTTCTTATTTTTTTATTTTTATATTTGAGACTATGTTCGACCGCTCCACTTACACATGATATTAAATGGCCCTGGTTTAATCCTATAAATTGTTTATTTTCATTTTGAGGTATCATTCTGAAGACTGGTCTTCTCATTTTTTAAATTTTACTGCATTTCGTTTTAGATGTTAAGCATCTCGTCTTTTGGTTGATTTGCTTCCTTTTATCAATATATGATTCTTTTTTTTTCTTTTTTTGTTGCCATCTTTATAACATGAGTTTTTTAATCATTTTGGTAATAGTCAAAATCCTTGGTTGTAGGGAAGTCATTTCTACCAAGGTTATGTGTCTTGATTTCAAACCTTTCGATTCAAAACTATGGCTCCCTATTTCTGGTTTACATATACTTACATTTCTTGATTATGTAAGTCGTCGAGTTATTACGTGAAGAAATTTGAGTCCAGGATGGTTGTATATTATATACAGTATATATATATATTACATGGTACGCACCATAGTGCTATAGACAAATATTTTCATTACGAATAGAAAATTACTTGCATCAAATGAATTATATTCGACACACAGTATCAAGACGTAGCTAAACAATCGTTTTGGATCTTTAGGATAATAGAGTTTTGTATGCATATTTTTTTATGTCTAAACTTTACATAAACTTAAGTCTCTAGAAGGAATATTGATGTATATTGATTATTAATATTTACATGAACACACACCAGAGTAAGATTGTCAAAAATTGTCGTTATGGCATGCATCAAATGAATTCATATTCCAAACAAAGTTCTGAATCAGTGTCCTACAAATTATGAGATATGTTGTTCCCGAATTGTTGTTCTCCGTTGCCTTCTCCTTGGACTCCTCCACTGCCACGTTAATGTCATTGCATTTTTTGGGCTGGACCACGGAAGAGCTTAACATAACTTGGTTGTCCATAACAAAGTATGTTTCTTTAATTTGTTTGGACTAAGAAGTGATCTTTATACATGTGTGCTAGATTCGGAGAAGTGAGGATGCTATTTATTGAGAAAAAAAAAATATAAATCAGAGTGATTGGTTGGGCTGCAGTAAGTGGATTTAGCTTTAATTTATATTTACAAACATATAAATTATCAATCATCATTTAAGTAGTTTTTAAAGGTAAAGTCAAAAACTTAAAAAAAAATGTAGTTTTAAGAACTTTAAATTTTAAAGTAAAAAATATTAAAATAGGATTGTTGTAGAAATATATTTCATTTTTATCATTTTTCATTTAAATTTTACAACTACATTAGATATAGATACATCAAAAAAAAATCTACAGATTAAATTTTATATTAAAATTCCTACACCTACAGTACAACCAATCACCCACATTATTATTAATTAACACTTATGGTATAAGATTTTCATTGAGTAAAATTAATTAAACCAGAGCTACACTTTCAATTCAAACCCAAGAAGATTTGGTTATTGACTAATTATTATTTTGGGTGTAAATGTTAAAGGTTATCTACTTATTTCTTTCATTGTGTTGATTTTTCTCATTTCTTCCTGTGAAATATGGATGGAAATAATTTTTACAACTCAGTATTTACAGTCATGGAATATTAGGTGTAGTGATCGTAATATACTAATATATACCACTTTCAATCCATGTAGAAGTTATCTTTGTTTCTCTTGTCATCTTTTTCTTAAATGTCATCGGTCAAAAATAAAAATTAACTAATATGTAATATGTAATTATAACTTGGTATTTTCTGTGTAATAATAAATATGATATAGAAGTTTATTGGCCTCAGAAAATATTTTAAAATGAAATAAGAACCAATAAGCTAGGTAGTCAAAGTAGCATCTTTCACTATTGTAGAAGGATTTTTTTCTTCACTAATTTTATAGAATATATTTTAGTCATTGCAATACAAAAAAGTTCATTGTACATATGGAAAGTTAAACAGTGAACAGACAGCTATTTCTTAACTAGATTTGCTTCTTTGCCATGAGAGAAAATAAGTAAAATAAACTTGTGAGATTATTAGCTTTTGGTGGTAGTCAACTTTTACTTCTTCTACTTGGGAGAATAATGATGAACAACCAAGGGAAATAAAAGTCTTAAGGAGTAGATTGCGTATGCTTGTAAGAGATTTTCTAAAACTATTTGATAGATCATGTATCTTCTAGTACCTTTATTGCTAACTAGTGAAAGTACCCTTTAATCTAAATCTTGTAAGCAACACTAACTAACATGTGTCCGGAACAATGTGGTCAAGTAGTAAAAGAAAAAAATTGAGACCTTAACACGTCTCAGACTCTATTTTAACTGTTGTGTAAAATTAAGTTATATTATTCTTAGATACCTACACGAATATGGATCTTTATTTTCATAATCTTTTACATATCCAGAAAAAATGTCTATATATGAAATGTACTTTCCTTTAAAAATTAATTTGGTTAATTTGGATCCTTGCATAGCTGTGATACCTCCAGGTTAATAGATAGAAAACACTGACTACCATGAAAATTCGTAGTAAATACTTTTTCGACCGAATATTTTTTTTATTGAATATATTTTTTTTAATTCAAACAAACATATAAATTAGAGTAATTTTACGGGACCATTTTGCCTAGAATATCAAATAATATTTTGTTTTTTTATAAGAAATTAAATAAAAACATTGTTTATGTTGGAAGATAAGACCAAAGCAGTGTAGACATATAATTGGCAAACTGAATTCAAAAACAAATTATAATATTTGATAGATATATCACGTAGACATATGAACTCACATCTCACTAATAAAGTCCCATTGAAGTAAGTTTTGTCTTCAGTCCCATCTAATGCGGCAACCACGAGCATGAAGCATCTCAAGCAATTCAGATGAGAGCAAGAATCTGAGAGGTGCGAAAAGTTTAAGCTTCTTGAGCCTATTGCAACAGGCTCTTAAAGCAAACTCAGACCCTTCCACACTCAATCGGTTCAGTTGGACTAAGTCAACGTCTTGAACCCTACTCAAATTGCTCATCAACATGCATAGAGCCGTATCAGAGACCGAGCAATAGCACAAGTTTATCTGCCCAAACCAAAAACACACAACACAAAGAATCAAAAAAGGTTTCCAATTAAATGATGCTTCCCACCATTTACTAAACCGGCCGGTTTATCCTATCAATGTTTTTTTTCAATTTACCTGTCTTAGGTTTCTTGCGAAGTAAGCAAGCGCCCAGAAGCCTGAGTCATCGATATTCTCGCACTTCTTGAGGTCCAAGTAATCTAGTTTCTTGCAGCCGCAGGCCGCTGCAGCTAGACCAGCACCGGTTATATTCTTTAGCCCTCGAAGTTCGAGGTGAGTTAGGTTTTCAAGCTGGCGGATTTGTTCAACCCCAGTGTCTGTTAGCTCACCACAGTACGATATAATGAGCCGGTTCAAGCTCTTGCAACCACGGGATATAGCTGCTAAACCGTCATCTCCTAAACCACTACAGCTGCACTCACAAACCAGAATCAATTAGAAAACGAATCAAGAAGATGAAACTTTCCTCTTAGCTCAAAGATTGGTCTAAGAGAAGAATGTTACCGGTATAGATCAAGTTCTAGAAGCTTGGAACATTTGGAACCGATATGAAACATCCCTTTGTCTGAGATATTTGTGCATAGGCCAAGTTTCAGGCTTAGAAGATTCGAACACTTTGAGACATATTCTAGCCCTGCATTAAAAGTTTCCCATTATAGCCAAGAAATATAAGATACTATAATTGGTAAGATGTAAACACACAAATGTAAGTTTTAAATCTACTTGTATCTTTATTTTACCTCTGTCATTGACGCCATAACAATCAGTAAGATCGAGTTCTTGAAGATACTTTGAGTAACATCCTATCGATTCAAGACCTTTCTCGGTTATCATATGACAAGACTCTAACTTAAGAGTCTCAAGATTCCGACAAGACTGAGTTACAGCACAGATGGCTGCATCAGTTACAAATCCGCAGCACGCTAGGTTTAGGGTTTTCAGATTTAAGCAGTTGCGTGCTAGTCCCGTCATCCCGATATCCGTCACACCCTCACATTTGCTCACTCCGATATCGGTTAAGGATCTACAGCTAGAGCTTAAGGTTAAAAGAGAGGAGTCAGAGACACGAGCTCCATCGATCCATAGTGTCTTGAGATGCTTCAAAGCTTTGATGTTCTGTAAGAAGCTCAGAGATACTTCCTGTGAATCACAAAGAGTGACGAGTCATTACAGATTCAGCAGAGTTCATCCATCAGTATATCTAGGTTTGCAGTTATTAGCCGACCCGAACCTTAAGTTCGTTAATGGTTAGTTTGGTTTTCTAAAATAAATAGAAACTATACCAATCTTAACCAAAATTCCGAACAAACTGAAATAGCCAAACTTAACTGAAACTAGATTTTGAACCCAGCTTTGAAAACGAGGATATATTTTTAGATGTTGTACGGACAAAAATTAATTTTTAATTTGTGATTAATATTTCTTGAAATTATTATAATTTTTGCTAACTATATTGATTTTTTGGTGTTGCATAACTATACATTATACCATAGCCATTTCATACATTAATTTTTTTTACTATATTTCTAATTTTATAACTTTTTTCTCTAAATATTACCTAAATATAACTATGATTATTTCTCACATTATATCACTATACAGTGATGTATTTTTGTTAACAAAAAAAATAAAAAATTATAGTTACAATTTTGTTTGATAAAATAATTAAAGTTCAATTACCCATTCATCTTCATAAAAATCTATTTAAAAAGCAAGTAAAATTAAATGGTCCATAGTAATCAAACCATATGTTTGATCCTTAACTTACGGATACACAGTGACTGGCTTTAAGGTGTTGAAGATCAGGATGACCTCTAACAATAGAGACAACGCCAGACAAACTCACACGCTCACACCTCGTGACATCAATCTCCTGTTTACACTTCTTACAAAACGTTAACAAAAACAATCATAGACAAAAAAAAAAGCTTTACGTCTGAAAGACAAAAAAAACAGTACCTGTAACAAAGGACAACCATTCTCAAGATACTCTAACCCATCATCATCTACCAATGGACAGTTCACCATATCTAAAACCTCAAGCCTTGGCAATAAAGCTATGGATCGCATCGAATCATTCGTTATCTGAATCCAAAACCAAAAATCAGACTATAACAAAAAAAAAAACTCACATAGTTTATAACTAATTCATATTGAATACGGTTTAGTTAATTGCAAATAGTATACACCGGTTTATCCCGGTTAGTTGGTTAGATCAATAGTATACAAATTCGAACCTTGAGATAAGAGACGTCGAGAGATCTCAAGTTTTTGCATTTCTTACAGAGAAGATCAATCCCAAGATCAGAAATCTCCATACACCATTTTAAACTAATCTTCTTAAGATTATTACATCCGAGGACGATCCTCGCTAATCCGACGTCGCTTAAGCTCAAGCATTTATCCAACCTCACCTCCCTCAGCCCCGCGGCGACGGAGATCGCCGCGGCTTCCCTGTCTCCGAACCCCCAGCAGTGAGACACGTCGACACGCTCCAAACCTCGGCACAGACGCGCCAGCGTCTCCAGCCCTCTGGCTCGGAGTGAAGTGGCGCGGCTGAGGTTTAGCGACTTTATCGAAACGGCGCCGTTAGAGGGTAGGCGTAAAACGACGTCGTCGTCGAGTTTGGGGCAGACGGAGAGGTCTAAGGAGGAGAGGTTCGGGTACTTGAGGAGAAGCAGAGGGAGGAACTCGACTCGGAGGATTTTTATCGATGTCCGACTCAGTGAGTCGACTCGGTGAAACTCTCTGCTGACGAGTCGCCATGTTTTCCGACAGGGAGGGTGTAGGAACCCGTAGACGCGAGCTAGAAGATCTTCCGACAGAACGGATAGAGACAGCGACATTTTTGGGGACGGGACAAGAAGAAAAAAGACAAGTAGTTTTAGTTTGGTCGGAAAGTTTTTAAAATAAAGTACGGAACTTTTTTTTAAGTCGGGATGAAGAGGAAGACGGCTCGGAGATAGAGTAGAGAGTGGTGAACGGGTTGATCCAGGATCCGAATTGGTTTACGGGTTATTAGTTTCGGGTTCATCGTAAAACCTGGGAACACAAAACCGAACCTCTCTTTACTTTCAATTGTTTCTCCTTCGAGTGTCATATAAAACGAGGAAGAAGATAAGTCGAAATGACGAAAACGCCCCTGACATTAAGTTCAGTACGGAAACAGATGTTGGTGTTTAGAGTCAGAGAGTCGTTAACGGTTGGTGATAAAACACGTGGTGAGATCTTACCGGTTTTGATGGATTTATTGTAGGATGATGAGCAGGTGATAACTGCTTAACTGTACCTAAATTAGGTCTGCACCCTCGGCGGGTCCCAGGTAACGTGCATCGACCGTACCTATCTGTTTGACCTAAAACAATATCATAAACGAAAAAATATAAAATTATTCCTTGTCTGACGTGGAAATACGCGGGATCATCGTGGCGGGGATCGTAGGTACGATCTGGACCGTATAAGAAGAGTTAAGTGGGACCCTCAAAAACTACTATTTTCGACAAGTTGCTTACAAGGTTTTAAATCTAATCTGGGTTTATTGCAAAGTTTCCGACGTCATGTATTAGCACATTCATTCCCACGAGGGTTCACATTGGGACGCTCGCTGGTTATATCAGCGTTATCTGCTTCTCACTTTTTGTATTATTTTCTATCGATAAGTGCTATATAAGAAAACTAATCAATAATATATCTTATTTTGTGTACCGTGTGTACGGTTCACTTCTCTGTTTCATTTAACAGCCCAAAAGGGCATATGGATATGCACAGGTGACGAAATTTCGATGTGAATTTTCTCACTGGATTTATCGAAATACCTAGCTTTTCAAAGTACGGTAGCATAATGATTAAACAGAAGATAAAGTCTGAAGTCTTTATCTGCATTGTATTTTTCTCTGAATATAGCTTTAGGTTTCCCGATGTAGGTCAAAGGCTTTGTTTCCTTCTTTCAGGCTCTGTTTCTACCATCTTCTATTTATTTGTTAATTTTAGATGACAAATCATTGTTTTTAGCATTCATTGAACTTCGGCCAAAAAAAACATTTATTGAACTAACCAACAAGGTTTTCATTTATTCTAGAATCTCTGATTGAACTAAACGAAGTAACTATACTAGATAATGGCAATGACGAACATTCCGACCAAAACAAATTCAGTTACAAATGGAATTGTCTTTTACAAATCAATAGTATAGGCTTCTATTCATGTTCCATGTAAATTTTATAGCACTAAGGAGTTAGATAGTGATGCATATATATATATATAGACTGATGGAGGGTAGTAGTAGAATTTTTGATGACAAGTTTAATTTGTATAGTATATACTATGTCTTTATAGTTAGCTTTTTCTGAGATTATTATGCATAATTAATTAAATATATCGATAGAAATGTTTCGGTTTTGATTTCAAATGTATAAGTCAGTTAACATTTGAGTTTTATAAATTTGTTGCTAGTGTACTTTCATTCATCTTTAAAAGATATACATATTGGCATGTAGTATAAGTTATATACAGCACAATGAATATACAAATACGTGTGTGTGTGTGGGTAAATGTGAAAAAAAAATCCTATTAAGATTAATGTGGGCTTCAACAGGAGGTAGAACTAATATGAGTTTTATTTTGTTTGACTTATATACCAACTCATATTTGTTCCACCACCTGTCAATACACACTTAATCTTAAAATAAGATAAGTCGGTACATTTTTCTCTTTTGAAATTTATTCTTTTATTTCGAATTGTTTTGATATATGTTGAACACAATAGTAGCCTGGCCGTTTATATTTAGAAAATTAGAAGAAGAAATGGCTTAGATATGATACTCAATCTTAAATATCTTGGTTTATATATTATGTCAAACATAAAGGTTGATGGTTGAGACTTTATAAACAACCACTAGTTTTCACTTGGTCAAACAACTACTAGTTTGTCACTGAAGTTTCAAATAAGAACGGTGGACATCGCATCAGGGAAATAAATAGTGTATGCATGTGAGTTGTTGAGACAGGCTTGTCTTCTATTCTATTAATTTAAGAATCAGGTCGAAGAAGTATATTCGATATTCGTTCTTGAAAGTCAACGTTACAAGTTACGACCACCCAAAGCCTTCAATAGTTGTAAAAACTGGGGTTTAAATCAATTACACTATCAATCTGACATTTATTTTACTCCCTTCTCGTTAAGATTTGAATATATACTACAATACGAAATATATTGTAAAAAGTATTCTGTCTTCAAAATATCGACAATCAAAATTCAAAATATTTAGAATACAACATGTTTGATTTAGGAAAGGTTTCTGCAAATACAAACAAAACCTAAATGATTTAGGAACTTCTAATAACACATGGTTTGAGAATACTTTTAAATGTTTATTTTTTCGTGAGCGAGCTCGAATGAGGATTTCCAATTTTTTTGGACCCTGAATTTTAGTAGATCACTACGATATGCAACAATAATGGATGTGGACTGATCCACTTAGACACTTCTTTAATTGTGGTACTCTCCGTATAATTTGAACCTTTCCGTGGAATTCGTTTGTATATAGTGACTATAATTATAGTCTATATATAAAAAGCATTTTAAATAATTTTTTAAATGTAGCCGATATTAAATAATGGTGCATATAGAAAAGATAATATATAAATATTGATTGTTGGCTTGATATACCTTACCTGGATAATAGCTGCCCGACTTAAGCCTAAAATTATTTTAGTAAGTATTAAAAAAAGTATACGACAAAGGTGAAAGACTAACCTTTCATCTACAAGTTGCGAGATTCTCGCTTTTCACGTTCTCTTACTCCATTGACTTCATTTTGCTGACCATTGGCTTGGGCATGACCCATGCACCAAGATTTATATATCCCTTCATCCTCTCTTTTTAAATACTAGTCACGTAAAATATATGTTCTCGTAAAAAAAACCATGTTATATGCAGCTCAATAGTAACTCTTTACAAGAAGACGCAATGAAGAGAGAAAAAATATATTACGTGCAGGTTTTCATACATTCAATAAAAATCAAGAAGATAGTTTGCCAAAAACATGTTTTTGAAAAAAATCTGAGTAAGTGATATATGTAAAAATAATCAAAATGTATAAAAAAGATTAGGGAATGAACCGTGTTTAAATATATACGTACGTGGTGATATGGTGGCAAGTTTCTTTTCATATGATATAACATTGATTGATTTAAAACAAGGTGAAGAGTTGTGAGGATTTTATATGTGGTAAAACTTGCGACGATGATCACATTTTATTGCCGAATCTGCAGATTTCGTTCATATGATGACATCAAATGCAAAGATGAGTTCATTGTCTTCCCAAAGAAAGAATACGAATCTATGCTCATGTGTCAGGTCAAATATTATGGTCCATATTAAACTTCAAAACAATTACCATACAGTATACATTAACGTCTACACATGTTGATTTTTGATATACTATTGCAGTTTAGAATCGTATGTACCGCATATGTTCTCTACACACCCCTTCTTATATCAACATATCATGTGTAAACATTTGAGTCATCGTCTATTTACGTTTGCTATTTTAGGATCTCTTGTCCTAGCAAGAATAAGAGATCACAGATTAGAAATTTAGTTACAAGCAATTGAAACTTAACCAATCTGGGCTAAGCCCATTCAATAAAAACCAACATCCAACATTGCAGACCAGAACTCCACTACAATGTTCCGGTTTTATCATGATGTCATAGATTGAAATATATGTTGTTTTATAATTTCTTTATTTTATCTTTTTTTTTGCCTTTTGCAGCTTATAACTCGATGAAAATGCTTATGAATCAACTCATGATGGCAGCAACCAAAAAATGCATTTCCAATTTCAAAATGAATGTGTAACGCTATTTCTGAACTATTTACAACGCAATTTTTTACTTAAAACTCGTGGCATGATGAACATGTTGTGAGAGAGATGATGAAGAAGAAGATGGATGAAGAAAGAGGCAGACGACAGACATATCGTCCATGGCGATTCCTCGTTTCTTCTTCTTCCAAGCCCGAACCGCTTGCTCAACTAACCTCTTAGCCGCCTTAGGCCGCTCAGTGGTCAAAGAAACGATCTCTATAGCTTCTTGGTTCGAGATCACATCCCATATCTTTTATATACAAAACCAAAAAAATATTGGTCAATATAACATTACCAAAGTAAATAAATGTGGGTTTATAGATATTTACCCCATCACTAGCCAAGATAATGAAGTGATCTTTAGCAGAAATATCCCTTTGAGTAACGTCAGGAACTGAGACCAATCCATAATCTTTGATACAATAGTCTCCGAACGCTCTCGACATTGCGAGTCCCGGTGTTTCTGCGTCAGGTTGCCACACACGGTGGACTCCAGGCTCATCTTTCAGGCCGAACACCCTCCCTTTGCATCCGAGTATCCTCTCCTTCTCCTCTATTTTTTTTTTACCAAACAAACACAATCAATATTCAAGAGTTTACTATAATAAAAACATATTTACTAGAATAAGAGAGAACTAACGAGGTAGATTAGGTTTGAAATCGAGGGTGAGCTGAACAGCAACCAAGCTTCCTTCATCCGAAACCGTGGCTAGTACCGCTCGTGAATCGCCTACATTTGATATATAAATAACTTCACCCTATATATATACATAAAAAAAAACATTTATCAGTGGCAATAGTAATAGGTAACTATTGTAATAATCTTTTATGTTTTACCTGTCTGACAATAGTTAGAGCGGTTGTGCCACTGTTGTAAGAATCTATCTTGCGGTGATGTTCAAGCTCTTGATCAACTGATGCACATGTCTTGAGATAGGAATGTTTCCATATGTCGAATCTCGAGAGCTTTTTATTAGAGTCTTCTAGGTCTAGCTCGGGGTCTAGTAATGTGGCTTGAGCAAGACTCTTTTGCCAGTTGCAAAGAAGTGACGAAGGCATTGAGTTCCTTACATGTTTGGATACATAGTGACCCCATGGACCATGTCCATCGAATATTCCGCAGAATATCATGTCTTCTTGGCACCCAAATCCCTATTTACCAAAAAATAAATTATCAAAACGCTGAACATTACTTAACCCTGCGTTTCAAGAAGCTAAAAGCAATCGCAAACGCTAAAAGTATCAAGAAGTCTAACAACGCAAACGCAAAAAGGAAAATCTAGAAACGGGAAAAAAGGTTAAGCAACTGAAGAAAGTTGTAACGTACCTCCCAAACGATTGCACAGTCCTGGTTAACGCCTTTTTCTCCGCGTTTAGAGAAAACAGAGGCAGAGTTATTAGAACCTTCGGCATAAACGTAACCACATGATTTCAGAATCATCTCCTTCTTCTTGGCATCTTTGGCCATCTCATCAGCAGCTTCCTTAGCGTCGCTATTCCCATTGTTGTTCTTCACTTTCTTGATGGAGAAAGATCGAGCTAACCCACTGAACATCGATGAAAAACGTCCCATTCTTTTAAGTTCAAGATGATCCTGAATCTGTTGTAAAAATCATAAGAAAAATTATAAACAGAGGTTTAAACATATAAGTAAGAAGATGATGAGTCGTGGTCTTGTTGAGAATAAGGATTGAAAAAATAGAAAAGTAATTATAAATGATATTGACTTTTTAGTAGACTATGACATGGATTCCATTGAAACGAGCTTCTGAGATTATCTTTTGAGATAAAAGTTGGAAATATAATATATGGAATTTGACTATAAGGGAAATCAAGTTTCTATTTATAGAAACATATATTTGGAGATATTTCTAAGTAAGGAAATGGAAAACAAGTTGCAAGATTTCAAGATTCCCTTATATGCTTTTTCAGGGAAAAGGAAAACTAACAAGAAAATAAAAAGGCTATCACAGTCTCAGAACTTTCTGAGCATGCTTTTGCATTAATATATACTAAACCTAAAAGACTAAAACAAGCAAACATAACTAATCTCCATAGATTTATTGAAAAAGGCAGAACTCAGAACTCTTCACCTTCTTATCAATCACAGACCAAATACTTACATGTATGAAGAGAGAGAGTGTTATAGACAGAAAGAGAAACCTTTGATATGACTCAGGACGCCGTGGAGATGACGTAAGCTCGGAAAAGCTGACGTAGCACCCACCGGAGAAGGAGGAGAATTAGCTAAAGAAGCGAGAGAACGTTATCAGAATCCATTTAATGCTCCAAAGAGAAAGCAAGACATTTAATGAAACAACGAAGGTAAGGTATGTGAATTAAAACTATTGATAAATTAAAAGTTAATATTTCTGGTACGGTGTTCCAATAGTTCTCTCTGTCATTTTATCTTATTGCAGGAGAAAGGACAAGGACATGAACGACATTGTCTTTGGTCTTTTGTGGTTGATATAAATTCACAGATTCAATAATTACATTTTTTTAATCATAATGTCTCCAAGATATTTCTCGGGTATATTTTAAAATAATTATGGTTGGTTGAAACAAATTGTAATATATAGTTTGGGATTCTTAACAGCGACAATAAAAATATATGTTTATAAGTTCTTCAGACATCAAACATTTTAAATTATAACATTTTTTGTTCCAGAAAAGTAATTAAAGTGTTGTTAAAATTTAGACGATGATAAGATATTATAGTCATGAAAAAATATTAAATAAAATGAAAGACAATTCTGTTTATGTGATGAAATGAAAATTGTGGTGTAAGTTAGGCGATTACTGTGTCCCAATCGTTGCATCAAGAGTCAAGCCAATCAGATCCAACAAATAAAGGTCAAATTATCAAATGTTATAGATCAAACAGAAAATATAAATAATTTCTGACTGAATTGTATTAATGGCCAAGATAAAGAAAATAATCCGTTATACTATTTATTTACATTATCCGTATAAAGGAATGTCAACAGTTCCGTTGTGGTTATGCAATTTTTAACGGACTGAAGATTGTGCAATTATTATACGAATAATAGCAAAATAATGTATAAAATAAATTTAATTGGGAATCTAATCACGCAGCCACATATATGTATATATCATAAGTATATATATACATATTTACGTGTACGTTATGATTGGTATAACTACTTTATTAGGCATTGCGGCATATGATTATCGTGGTAACAATATATCCGTAGGTCAACGACATCAATTTAATAAAATATACAAATATTGTTTAAAAGTAAAAAAATTATATACGCGAACATAGTTGATGTATTATATACGTAGTACAAACTGTATGTGTATCAATTAAATTTCCTAACTAATTTTTTTTTGTTGGTACTAAAATATATTCCGGTCGAAATCCAAACTAATTATTGAGTTGTATAACTTTTATATATGAAGAGCTCAGTTATGTAAACTGGTTTTGTATTAGACTTTAAAAATAGTTTATATAATGTTCCGGTTTACTGTGACAAAAAATAAATAATAATGTTCCGGTTTTATATTATTGGCTACGAATTTTGATTACCGGCCAGCCAATAGAGGAAGAAAAAACATGAGATTGACAGAAATGACTCGGCAATAGTGCGCTCCAACTTTTCGAAAAGTCCAGTACAAGGCACTGCAGTGATTGTTATTTGCCTTGGCCCTTGACTCAAATGTTGAGTAACTAGTAACTTTTTTATTAACAAAACGCTCGTATAGTTCTATGTAATTTTTTTTGTTGACTCGGATATCCAGCGGATAGAGACCTAACCGACTAAGTTTTGGAGATCTATCCATTGATACCAGATAAATCCGATTGTTTGCAAAGAAGATCTAGATACCTCTATCGTCTGATTACAGAGAATTCTATATAAATTAGAAAAGCTAGTCCTTAAGTTTTTTAGTGTATTTATACACAATAGACTTTTTTTTATGCACGTTTTGGTAGCTTAATTTCAATCTGCACGTGACTTCGCATGTGAAATTTACTAGTTAGAACTCTAAATGAATATAATGGGTAACTAAACGCATAATAGCATTCAAAACACATATAAAGTACGTAGGTCGTAGCCATACACGTTTAACATAAGACTTCTAAAGTATATAGATAAACAGTTTTATACTGCAAGCTATATTCTCTTATAAAATGTGAATATGGTCCATATGTATTTAAAGAATACTTCATAAAGGTGCATGCATTATGCATATATAATTAATAGATAGAGATCCTTTTGTACTATGTCAAACACAGTGCAATATAAATAATCAGTAATCTCACCCAAATAACTGGTGAAAAAAAAAGTTCACAAATATCTCGAACAGTATTAGTTGTTTGATCTTTGTTATAATTTATTTACTTTGTACTAGGCCTGCGACTTCGGTTTTCCGAAACCGAACCGAACCGTCGGTTTTCGGTTAACCGATTTTTTTTTTAAAATACCGAAATAAACCGAATGAAATTTCGGTTCGGTTCGGTTATCAGTTTATTTCCGTTTTCAATTTTATTTCTGAAATAACCGAATTTTTAAGTTTTCGGTTAACTTTAGTATAATTTTCCAAAATATTCGGATATTTTCGGTTAAATTCGGTTATTTCGGTTAAATTCGGTTATTTTCGGGTTATTCAGTTATTTTTGGTTCGATTTTTCGGATATTTCGGTTTTTAACATTTTTAATTTTTTTTTGAAAACCGAACCGAAAACCGAATTAATTTTTAAAACCACACCGAATTGAACCGAAATGAAAACCGAAAAAACCGGTTCGGTCCGGTTCGGCCCATTCGGTTCGGACAAAAATCCCAGGCCTTAGGGCTGGGCAAAAAATCCGGATCCGAAGAACCGAACCGAACCCGATCCGAAAAAGTAGTATCGAACCCGAACTGAAATTGATTCAATATCCGAATGGGTTCAAAATTTTGGTTTAAAGAACCGAAACCGAACCCGACCCGAACCGAAGTATTTCGGGTACCCGAATATATCTGAAAGAGATTTATATACCGATATATATTAATTATTTTAGATTTAATATATATTAAAAACATTCAGTATATATATAAAATACTTTGAAGTTATTCAAAATACTTGTAAATATATGTAAATAGTCAAACATATATGTCTAAAATTGCTAAAGTACACTCAAAATATTAAAAATACTTAAAAAATTATTGATTCACAATCCAAATATTCAAAGCAAACTAATTTATATATTAATTTTAGATACTTTGACTTATGTTATTCAATTATTTGTAATATATTATTTTTTTATAAATTTTTAGAAATTTAAAGTATATAATCAATTTTAAAATTTTTAAAAATAATTTAAATGGGTTATCCGAACCCGAACCGAACCCGCAAAGATCCGAATGGGACTAAAATTTGTAAACCCGAAAACCCGAAACCCGAATAAATCCGAACCGAATCCGAATGGGTACCCGAACGCCCACCCCTACGAGGCCTACTTTGTACTAAAGACAGCTCATGATAAAGGAGCGATTTGTCTGGTTCGATTCGTTTGCATACATGGCTTATATTCCGGTTTGATCAGCGATAATTTTAGTAGTATTATTATACAGCGACTGAACCGGATCGATAACCGTAGCGTGTCAGGTCGCAGAGCCATGACGAAACTGGACACGAACCTTCGGGTTTCACATTCCTCGAGAAAGGGAACAGTTAATGGGGCCCTAGTTTATCGGATGTGTGACCCCTTGTGACGGTAGTCTTTCGGTGTGATGGGACATAAAAATACAACAAACTCTGTATTGTTTCGTTGGATGAATCCCCAATATGTCGGCAACAATCATGCACACACAATCTTAAATTTTTCTCATGTTTTTAAATATTTTTGACTTTGAAAAATGAAAATATAAAGTTTTTTTTTTGAAAAAGATGAAAATATGAAGTTTATGGTATTCAACAAAAAAAAAAAGATTATGGTAAGGTTAATCGTCTAGTACTGTATTTGACTAAATAGACTAAAAGATCTTCAAAACTTCCCAAATTTCTGTAACTAAAACATTTTGACATTAGATCTGATCTAAGAGCCTACGTGGTAATGAGTCATATGAGCTATATATATCAATATGCATGAACACGTGAGGTGAGAAACAGAGGCTCACACCACTCCACCAGGAGACTTCTGGTGTGATCGATCACTTCCTTTTTTAGGTGAAGTAATTATTTCGGCAACCGAAAAAACTAGTCGAGAACCACATGATGAGTTAAGTCATCACGGGGCCTACACTCGAGCCGTACCTTTAGATAAAATGTTACATTAGCAATCTCATGTGGGCGGTGGATTTTCCGTGTGTTAGCAATAACTTATAGTTGCCACATTTTCACCATAATGTAAATGATTGAGAAAATACCAGCTACATCTACTAATCAACGTTGAAAAATCGTATAAGCAGCATAAAATAGTTGGGAAAATGCAACATATATAACTTATGTGGATATATATAAGTAAGCACACATAAGAGTTTAGAGTTTAGACAAATTGCATGCATAAAATAGTTGGGAAATGGATATAACCAAAAAAAAATATACATATAGTTGGGAAATGCAACAGAACTTATGTATATATATATAAGTAAGCACACATAAGAGTTTAGACAAATGTTGCAATGAAAGAACGGGAAACTCAGAATGTTGCACAAATATGTTACATGTGACTCTTAGATTAACCAGTGTACATCTAAAAGTTCATATGTTTTAATTCGTTAAAAATAATTTGTTCTCCTAAATAAAATTAATTTACTCTGGTTTTATGAAAATGTCCAAAACTTCTAGTCATCCAACAAAAAAAGATGTTGCATTATACTATGACTCAAAAGAGCCCATTAACATGGGCATAGAAGTCCATAAGTATCAACCATAGTGAAACGCAGATACTTTCAGTTAATTAACCGGAGAGGGAAGAAAACAATACCTGGCTTGAAACTGAGCTCCAACAATCTGTCTCCTCTCCCGGAAAAACTTAGATGTATATATGTTGATGCATAAAGTAATCAGAGCTTGCAATTTATAAACATGTGAGATAGAGAAGGAACGAGGAAGAAGCAAAATATCTTCTGGCAATTAGGTCAAAAAAGATTGAAATTTTGAGGGAAAAACGATAAATAAATCATAAACCACCTGATTGTTGTTGGTTACCGACAAGATTTGGTAATTACTTTGGTCAAAGGGAAAGGAAGGACAATGAGTCAACAAATGGTCGGTTTTTAAACGTGTGCTCAAGCTATATCACATAAACATCATATCAGCTCAACAAAAACAAAAGTAGCTCGAGAATGTGAATTATAATAATATCAATCTGATTATAAAACCTATACTTAAAAGTTCATCTTGTACGTAGCGGTCAACAAAATATGATTCGGCAAATGCATGCATAACCTTGAGACAAGGAAAACAAAGTTAACGTTGAAATCAACAATCGAAACCGGTTCAATTTGATTTGGTTTTTATATTCCAAAGAAAACCGGAAAACGAAGCTGTACCACAACTCAAACGGTTTAAATAACTAAAACAAACCAGTAACCAACCACTAGGAGACGTGGTGTAGTCAACCCACGTTTTGTAAAATGATCACTACTATTCTTAATACAAATATTTCACAGCTCTTTCCACAACACCACCACTACCTTAATCATTAGTTGAATCAATGAAGATATCAGTATCCTCATCAACCTCTCCTAAACCTCAAATCATCGCTGATAGGAGCAAGGATTTGCCAAGGATCGTGCACACGTCATGCAAGTTTAGGGTTTCAATGTGTCAAAAGATCAAACTGCAGCCTAAAACATCAGAGAAAGCCAAAAGGAAGAACGAGAAGAAGATGAAAGAAGAGAAAGGGAAGAGAGGTTTCATCAGACCCAGGTTGGTTTTTCCAGTCAAGAAAATGACTTCTGTTGTATCCGGTGCCTTCAGACGCAAGAAAACACTCAAAAGTGAAAACAGAGGACATAGAGATGATTCTGCAAAAGAGACCTTGGCTGTTGTTAAGCCTAAACCTAAAAAGAGTTTTTGGGGAAGCGCAAGAATTGGGGTGAAGATACTCATCTTAGGGCAAAGATTGAAGACGAAAAAATCAAGAAGAAGAGGAAGAAGAAGCTTAAGCTTAAGAGAGGGTAATGGAGACGAGGAGCTATGCAAGAAGAGAATACTAATGGGTGAAAGATGCAAACCTATAAACGAGTCAGGTGTTTTGCAGTATGATTGTGATGGGATCCTTGTCCCTGAGCCATGACCATTGTTAATAGTCATAGTATGTTGCTTATTCACATTATTAAATAGTCACAGTATGTTGCTACAAAAATCTTGAAACTATTTCAATATCTTAACAATATTGAAACTATTTGAAAATCTATTAATCCTGCCTAAGCCTTTATAAATAATTAACAACACTAACTAACCTAGAATCTGAAGGAACCATATGGAGAGATTTGAGACTAATTTCATGGATTATTATGAGTAAGCCATTGTAGTTTCTTAATCTTTCAAGTAAATTTGTATAATATTGTACACACAAAGCAGTATATTTGAGATTCACATTATACAAAAACAATCTTTTGTTTGTTGTAACCTTGATTTAACTCTTAACAAATAAAAACTGGTGAAAAAACATGTTCACTTGCCTAAACTCAATCTGCGTTTTGGATCTCTGGTTGGTCGTTGCTGCGGCTGAGAACTCACGGTGTTAGGTCTCTTGCTTGGTGCTGGGATCAACGATGGAATTAAACTTCTGCCACAAGAAAACACAAATGCTCCTTATCAAACCAATCAAGACTATTGTAAATACCTAAATAAAAACTTATAGATATTATATTATTACCTGGTTTCTGAGAGTTTGGTAGTTTTAGTCTGAACTTTCTTTGGTTTGGAGTTTGCTAAACTTTGTTTATTAGAAACTCTAGGCACATTCACTTGAACATTCAATCGCCACATCAAATCAGAATCTGAGGATTCACTTGTTACACCTTCAGATTCGTTATCTGTAATAGTCTGCACTTCAAAATCTTGTTTCCCACCATTTCTGCCATTTGAAAAAAATGATAGAGATCAATGATAAGAAGGTGCAACATGTAGATGGAATGTGAGAAACATACAGTGATTGTGAATTCTCATCTCTATCCTCTTCATTTGAGTTGAGTGATTGCCTCCGCCTCATTAACTCATGGATATCTAAAGTGTGTCTTCTTGAAGATGCAGTATCGTTAAAAGCCTGCATAGTTTTACATACATACAAAGATGTCATGGTACCAACTTTGACTTTGGCTTCTCCTAGAAGAAAGCAAAGCATATATATACATACCTCTGGACCAGTTAAATCCATAATCTGAGGCCTAAGGTTGCTTGGTGCGTTTCCTAAGGTAGGAAGCTTGGGTCGCACGGTAGGTGTTTCAAGTGATCTTCTTCTTGATATTCTCTCACGGTTGAGTAGTAGAGAGGTTGGTTGTGCATCATTGCCATTTTCTTTCCTTGATAAAGCCATTTTAAGATTAACAATCTGAAATCCCCACAGAACATTATCAGATTAGTGATAGGATTAGAGAATCAAAGTATGGTCATAGAGAAAGGGTTTTAAGAACCTGCTCCTTAAGCTCCTTGACCTCTGAGTTATCTTTGTTCACACGAGCAGCGCCTAGCTCAACACTTCCCACTCGTTCAGCAAACTTCAGAGTGCTAATAGCTTCTCCAAGAGTGTCAGCTTCTGGACTAATGTGGACAAACATAAGCGTCTTGGCTGATCCACCTAACAACATACAAACAGAAGTTGAAAAGAAATGCTTTGTATATACACAAATGCAACGAGTGATGATGGTTTTGATAATTTTACCAAGGGAGTCCTGGAGAAGCTGGGTGAGTTTACTATTCCTGTAAGGAACATGAGAAGTCTTCTGTGAAAGAGAAGAGATAACATCTCCAAGAGCAGATAATGACTTATTGATGTGTTGAGCCTCTTTCAGCCTGTCTCCAGTAACCTCTGACTTGTCCACTCTCTCGCTTCCTGCAAGATCAACCAGATGCATAGAACCATGGAGGATAGTTCCAGACGTAAGGTCTCTCCCTTGAACATGAACAGTCACACAGCTGCCAAAGATGTGGGGTTAGAACGAGTTATGAAATAGAGTACTCATGAAATTATAGAAAGAAAAACAAACCTGTGAGATCGACTACTTCTATCATTCATAGCTGTAGAGCTCACTGCACGGTTCATATGTCCTAGATCCATCAACTGTATAACATCATTCGTCGTTGAGACAGGAACTAGACTCGCTTCCGGGACATTAATTCCGTTTTGTGTGTTGTTTCTGATCTCCAACGTAATCAAGAGTTAAGGATCAAAAAAAATCAAAGCATCTCATAGTTCTTGAAAGATAAGGAGACAGTAAAAAAAAAATGTATTAGTCCAAAGGATATCTTTTAGTTTGGCCATCAGTGGCAAGTAGATCTCTGACTTGCTCATTGTAAATCTCAAGCATCTGAACCGAGATTTCGTAGCTGGTTGTGTCTTTTCTTTGATTTGATAGAAGAAACAGATCAGCTAATGCCCTGTAGTTCACACCTAAGCTTTCTTCAGTCAGTTCCTTAGGCCCTGTCTAAAGTAATTAGGCAAATTAGTAATTTAAAAAATTTGGTATTGTGTAAAACTAAATCAAGTATGGTAGCAGTTTTTTTACCATGGTAAAAGTTTTTCCGGATCCGGTTTGACCGTAAGCAAAGATGCAGACATTGTATCCATCAAGAACTGACCGTACCAAAGGCTGCATGTCTGAAAACACTTCCTCTGAAGAAGAAAGGATTCATTCACTAATGTTATTTAAACATTATAGGGACATAAAATTCAAAGCCTGTATTGTGTAATAACCTTGTGTTGCAGAAGGACCAAAGACTTTGTTGAACATGAATGGTTTGTGTTCTTCTTTCCCATACTTTGATGGCACTCTGATGGTGATAGTCCCTTCTTCTATATGTTCCACTGTACTCAACATTGTTGGTTCACCAGGCAAGAATGGCCTAACCCGACAGTACACTCGTATATTCCCTAATCATTACCAGGTGTGAGATAAAAGCACTACAAGAAACTGATTCAAGATCCTGTGAAGTTACCTTTTAGGTCCTGAACTAGGTTGTACAATTTGCGGTTCTCTTCAAGAACTCTTTTGTATCCCTTAGCCGCGTGAGCTAAACCATTTACATGATTGCCTGTGTGATAATAAAAACCCAAAACAAATGATACATTTATATTTTCACTGATTAGAGAAATTTAATTTATTCCTGAACAAATACATAGCAAGAACATGATCTGAGTTGACTACCTAAGTGAAAGAAGTCTTCTTGATACTTCTTTTGTAGTAACTGCATTCCTGTTTTTGTAGTGATTAAAGTTTGCTTCAACTCCTGTAGTCATTTAAACAAAGCTCAAACTCCTTCTAACTTTTTATCATCAAGAATATAAGATAAGATACAAAATGCAACCATTTTCACAATGTGGTGAATACCTGGATGTGTTTTTGTTGATGTAGAAGAATCTTCTGTTCTTCATAGTGTTCAGAATCTATCCTTTGAGTATTTTCTTCTTCGACTTGTAACGGTATGTTTTCTTCTGCTTCCTCATCTTGCTCACACTGCTGAGAAGGTACCACTGTCTCGCAGGATGAAACATCTTCTGGAATATGCTTTGAACTTGATTTCATCTGACATTAAAAAAAAAAAATATTTGAAAGTCAGCTTCTTAATACCTTGTAGCTAGACCAAAACCTCGGATTGACATCACTTGTCCTCACCATTTCATTGTGGATTGATAACCGTTGCTGGACTTCTTCCATAACTTTGTTCAACACAGACTCTACAACCTGATCAAGATTAAAGAAAACAAAAAAATAATTCTCAATAAGAATTTGGAAAATGGTGTCTACTAGTCTTGCTAACAGTTGTTTTAATACATCTTAAGAAGCTTAAAAAAAAAAGATCAATGCCAATATAAAAAAAAAATCATTCAAAAAAGACAAAAACAGAAGTCTTACACTTGGAATATCTTCAGGCTTTTTGTCTGAAATAAATGATCGAACAAGTGCGTTAATGGATCTAGAATCTCCCTGCAAAGTCAAACAGAGATACTTTTATCAACAACCACCACAATCATATAAACAACATCTCCACTTTTTCACTTACTTGCCCAACATCAGAACACAGAGGTTGATCAGTTGATGAATGAGTTATAGACATGGAACTCATGAACGGCTCAGAACTTTTTCTCAAAAATGGTTTCCTAGATCCAAAATTATTCTTCATGTTGGAACCATACCTAAACGGACCAGTTCCACCATTCTGTTTCCACTCGTTGTAAGACTTAAGTGCAAGTATGCAGTTCACTATCCTAATAGACTTTCCTCCCTGTAAAAACATAACAAATCAAAAAAAAAAAGCTACAAGTCTCTATATTCTTTGAAGTCCTTTATTTATACCTTCTCCATATCAGAAGCTTCAAAAGATGGCAAATCCATTCCCTCAACAGCATTTAAAAAGTTCCTTATATTTTCAAAATATTGAAAAGCAGAGAGTGCAGCTCCATCTGCAACATCATCTGGTGCTTCAACAACCTGTAAAATAAAAAAGATGTTAATTCTCTACATATATTAAGTCAAAACAATGTCTCATTTATCAAGTCTATGTGGTTTATACTAGTTTAATAAATAAATCGGTGGAACAGAATCAACATAAAACATAGCTTATGGAAAAACTCCGAGCACCTCGTGCAAGCTTGTCCGCAATTGTTTTAATACAGTTGTTTTACTAGTTTAATAAATAAACCGGTTCAGAAACCCAAATCCGTGGAACATAATCAACATAAAACATAGCTTATGGAAAAACTCCGAGCACCTCGTGCAAGCTTGTCCACAATTGTTTTAATACAGTTTGTTTTACTAGTTTAATAAATAAACCGGTTCAGAAACCCAAATCCGTGGAACATAATCCAACATAAAACATAGCTTATGGAAAAACTCCGAGCACCACGTGCAATCTTGTCCGCAATTGTTTTAATACAGTTTGTTATACTATACCTTTGAGACAGAGCCAGGATTAACTTTGTTAAGAACATTGCAAAGAACGATCCCGCTACGCAAGCCAAGCCTAAAATCTTCTTCAGAAGGTTCAGCAGGGAAGTCTCTACCGTTAGAGACTCCGAGCGTTTCTCTAAGCCATGCAGCAGCTTCGTATCTTCTTAAAGCTACGTACCAAATATATAAAGCTTAAAATTAAGAACCAAAACGTGAAGAGAATAATATGTTTACATGATCTATGAACAAAGGCAAAGATGGGGAGAAAACTCACAAGATTCTTCGAGTTTCCGGGGTAATAACAAACCAGCGTCGTTTGATCTGGTAATATGCTGTTGAAGAACATCTTCAACAATGGATACTAAAGAAAACGAAAAATCATTCGACTCCATCTGCAAGGTTTCCTGAGAATTTTCGAGAATATGTCTCTTCTCTTTGAGGAAAAAGAGAAGAGATAGAGAGGAGTTTGCGGGGTTTGTAATATAAAGGGTTGCAATGGAAGAGAGCTTTTGAAAATCAATTGTTTTTCCCTCACTTTCTCGCTCACACTTTCTCACCTCTTTCTATGGATTAAACAAAATTAAATTAATTAATCTAGTGGAGGAGGAGAAAGAGGCGCAATGCGCTCCGAACCTATGCACCCAAAACTTCCCGGTTCGGTTTGGTTCGGTTCATTTTCATTTTTTTCTTGGTTATATTATTTTCTCTTCTTTCTTTTAATGACTTTGGGCTGTAGTTTTACTTTTTTTTTTTTTTTACTTATGTTTGGAAATGTCTTGATTATAAAATATTTTCTAATATATTTACACTTTACAGCTAAGAATTAGTATATCTATAGATAGATTATCTATGTCATTTTTATTGTAAAATGTTTTAGTGATTCTGTAAATTAGAAAGATATTTAAGTACTATATCCTGAATTATTTTGAGATCAAAGTCTTATAAAACATAAATTTATCGTCAGAATTTTGATGCATTTTCACAAAAATTTTAAACATGATAGAAAACATAAAATGATGACCAGTACGCCGGAAATTGATTGGACCCACTTTTAAAAAAACAGCCAAAAACATGTTTGCTAAAGCGAAGATTAGGCACACAATTTCATAAAGCATACATCAATTTCTAAACCTCCACATTTTATCTTCTTTCAATTTTTAGAATAGAGATTAGCTTTGGCACTAACTACATACCCCCACAATCGTCAAAACTTGAACTATTTTCATGATCTTCAATCCTAGAAAAATTATTTTGTTGTATAATATATGTTTTTTTGAGCAACTGTCGCATAATATCTCTTTTTTGTGCACAAATATTGTTGTATAATATCTTGAACTAAAGTTTATGTTTAATATAAGTTGTAATCTTAGGAAGATTATGTGTCAAACAAACTAGCTTTATTACATTAATCGTAGTATCATCTGGTCACATAGAAAAACCAATGTCTCTTATGATATTATGTATAAGTATCAACTTTTAGAAGTGAACATTGCCCTTTGCCGAACACACCAATCTATAAAAGTATAGCTTTGCTTAAATGGTTATTTTGATATATAAATAAATGTATTAATTTGTATGTATGGTACACCCTGGTTTGTTTTTGTTTGGTTGGTTCAGTTCAATGGATCTTAATAATTGAATGATCGTGGATATGTTCTCTGATTCTCAGCATTGCATTGATAGTCCGATTATAAGCATAAAGCCAACATGTATTCACTTCTTGAAGGACAATTCCACCATCTATGATGTAAGCATAGTTTTCAAATGGACCATATGGTTCAATTCAAACCTCTCCCAAGTCCTCATAGATAAGAGGTCCATATCAGATAAAGATATAGAAGCGGCTAGATAAGTTATTTTCTGCAAGATATACGATAGGTTATTGTCATAAAGATAAATGAGAATTAGTCACAAAGCTTTGCTGGACTTCTTGTTGAAACTTTAGTATTGGGCCAGAACTGATAATTAGGCATATCATTCTACTTCATATGTTATGATTCGTATCTTGTTCAATAAATGTAAAAGTATAGCTTTGCTTAAATGGTTATTTTGATATATAAATAAATGTATTAATTTGTATGTATGGTACATCCTGGTTTGTTTTTGTTTGATTGGTTCAGTTCAATGGATCTTAATAATAAATGGATTCTTGCCTTTTAGATGGGGCTGTTTATCATAACTAGATCCGTTCCCCGGGCTACGCCCGGGTTGTTTGGGTGTTTAAATTTTTAATTAAAAAATACTTAAGATGCATAAGATTTAGATTTAAAATAATATAGTCCAATGACTAAATTGTAAATTGCTAATTCAGCGCAATGAGTTAAGGATTATGACCTTTTTAAATTGAAAGACAAAAAACGTGATGTATGAATATTGGCTTTCGGAAGCAAATTTCCTTTGTTTTTGTGGAACCTAATTGTTAAATTGAGTCTTTAGTCTAGTGGTTGAATAATACATGATTATGTAGTTAACCTAGGGTTTGATCCCTATTGATAGCATATTTTTTATCGTCTACATTTGAAATCACACAATAATGATGGTTTCTATGTTAATATTCGTTGTTATGAGGTGAAAGTGTATCTATAGCCTTCTGAGATAGTATGTCACATCCATGTTTGGCCAACCTGGGTTCGAACTGTCCCACCAGCATTTTTTTGGTTTTGATTTCCAGTGGCCCATGTATCCCCATGTAATAAAGGTTGAACTCTTAAAATATGATACTCATGCAGTTTGGAAAAAGTTGTGCGATAATATCATGATGATGAATATTCACACATTTACATTGAACAATACCGGGCACTTAAACCAATTAGTATATATATATATAGTACTGATAACTTTCTTTTAATAAGAAGAGTTGATGATTCAAAGAGCTAATGTATATAAAATTCTGAACTTTTTTGAAATAAATTAATTTAAGTTAACTTATCTTCATCATAATATGAAGATAGACACATAAAAGTGGTCAAAATATGTAATTAATAAAATATATAATTTAGGAAAATACAAACTCAAACATAAATATCTTATTAACGGAGAGTAACATTATTACATCAATTTAGTTTTTTGTTTTGTTACCCTTTAAAAATAAGATTAGACCCGTTCCCGGGGCAACGCCCGGATTGTTTGGTTGAATTTTATTTTTTATTGAATTCAGCCAGAGCTAAGTAAATAAGGAAACTGAAATTGTGATATTGGAGGCTTTAGACATTAGTCTCCCTACATATGAGACAGCTAATATTTGTACGTTACCATTCGTCAATGCACGGGAAATGAAATTGATGGCCGCACGAAAGAGCGCATATGTATTTGCCATTGTTGAAATTCTCGAAGCACACAGTGCATGTGTTGTAACGTTCTTCCATATGTGGAGGTCTAGTAATTCCCTAAAGGTCAGTTATGATGAGGTCGACGTCAAGTCTTGCAGTTGCTTCTGGGTTGTTGTCCGTGAGGGTCAAAGTAATTTGAATATGAAAATTCGTGTTGAGAACGCTGCTGGTTAGGATTTCCGAAACGTATTCCGAAATCTCATGGATAAGCATTGTGTAGTCTTCAGGCTTTATCTGATGGTAAGCTAACATGAGATCAATGTACTATGTTTCAATTAAATTACCATCATTGTCGGTGTGGCAGTTGAAAATCAATGGCTGATTGTTGTGTCATGGGTCTGTGGATGTACACCTGAAGCGTCATCCTGGGCGTGACTGCAGGGGGTTTAGCTTGGTGTGAGAAATGGTATCGCAGGATGGGTTCATTATTCATTTTTGTTGTTGACAGTGGTGTCTGGATGTTTTATTTTGGTTGTTTGGTAGGTGGCTCTTATATAGAATTAGGGTGATGAAGCCTTAGTTTGTGTTTAATTCTTGTAACATATATTTTATGCAAACCTTTAATCGGAGAGTTTTTGGTTTTGACCAAATGTAATGGCGTATTAAAGTTAGTTAAGTTGTTATTGCACACAACATTAGTTTTACGTTATCATATAGTGAATTGAATTATCAAATTGTTATTGTTAATAATTAGAAATTTGACTCTCCTTGGAAAAAAATTTAAATTATGTTTTTAACTTTTTACTATTTATAATTTTTTATTCTAAATTCCCAAATAAAAGTTTTTTTTCAATTTTATTGTTGTCTTATTTTGTTATAGTTAATATATTCATGATTTTACTGTCCGTTTTTTTATTGGGTTTGAAGTTTAATTTTTTTCATTAAAATTAGACATATAAATATTGCAGTGACAAAAAACAGACATATAAATATCTATACTATTATTTGCGAAGTGATTTTTCGCAATAGAGCTATCACGGTAAAAGTTAGAGCGGTTAATATCTATTTTACCCTTATGAAATTTTTATATATAACTAATTTTATAATTAAAAACGAAATTTTAAAAATAAATTAGATAAGTACAGTATGTTACTATCTTAGATAATAAAGAATAATTAATATAATAAGTTTATAAAAAAAAACAAATTAAGATAATTCTTATATATGTTATTATTATCTGAATATAATATTGTAACAACATGATAATGCTTATAGATCTTAATTTTATAGAAAATTGATTTTGGCTTTTAAAAATAATATCATTATATTATAAAATTTAAAAATTAAAATATAAAATCGATTTTAATTAAATATTCAAAACTATTTTATTATGTGGATTTTTTTCAACACTATAATAAGCATATATATTTTGATGAAAAATCATATAAAAGTATTTTAATGTTTGATTTAGGTTTTTTAAAACTATAGAAAATAACTTATAATATTATTATAGAATTAATAGAACAAAAAATAATAAATATTCGTAAGAAAATTATGCCCGCATATGCGGGCACAACACCTAGTTTTTTTAATTTATAAGGCTTTATATTTTTTGTTAGATGTCAAAAATCTTATTTTGTTACAATTGCTAAAAATAGTCTAAACTAATTTTAATATCTTTGAAATTAAAATATATTAACTTAAATTAAATTTTTAGTAAATGTTTTTGAGCGTAAAATACAAACATATCCAAACAATTAATTTATGTTTTTTGACAATAGAAAATTAATATTTTTAGTTTAGCTATCAATTTAAATGGAACTTAGGTTTCTGAAACACTCCTCTATGTATTAATCAAACGTTACAAATTTGTATATCCATAAAAAAGCCTGAACGCAGGAGACGTAATCAAGATTAGAAGTCATTTGGTTTTGTTTGTTACGTGCAAAATGTTTTGCCAACAAATAAAATGGCCATTATTGTACACAATTTAAGTCCATGAACATACAAAAGTAGTAAAATTTTCCGACGAACAGATTAATCCATAAAAAGGTGAAAGGGAATCCATTACAAAAGTTAAAGGAAGCAAAATATTAAACCGGAACAGAACCAAGGTTTTAGAAAGATGCAAAGGAAAATCCATTCAAAATAAAAAAACAGAGGAAACATTAAATTGAAAGAAAATCAGTACTAAGTTCCATTAGCCAAGCTTTGAACGTTTGGCTTCTTCACCCTCAATCACATCAGCACTCCTTTTCACAGACTCCTCTGCTTCATCCTCCATATTGGCTACAGGTGCCTCTCCAGCTTCATCTCCAATGTTGACCTCTGGTTCTTCCTCCTCAAGAGGGAACACTTTTGTCACAGTCACACTCTGTGACTTGCCAGTGAGGTTATAAGCAGAGACCTTCACAACAAATTTCCTGGTTTGTCCTATGGTATTGATTAGAGCCTGAGGCACTGGGACAATGTGATCCTCTTCTTCAATTCCGTTGACCTGAAATAGATTTACCTATTGTTAGTTTTTTTGTTTAGAAATGAGATCAACTTGTAAAACCTTACAAACGTCCTAGTGTTTCTGTGATACCTGATAGTAGTTATCAACCAACTCAGCAGCTTTCTTTCCAGTCAACTCCTCACCAGCATCACCGAGAAATACAAAGACAGCTTGATCCTTGTGGTCATACACATTTAGCTTCGAGTGGTACCTATGACAGAGAGATATTAATAACCATTGAATTAAAATGTAAAACGTGATCGCAGAAGAAAACCGCTTACTGTGGCACAGCATCAATTTCATGCTTCCCACACTTCTTACACATGAGAGTTGTTGGCCCCTTGATTGCCTTGGTATGACAGACACGACAGCCTATATAGTACCACCCAGCACCATGGTCAACGTCATCAATAGTTGCTGTGCACTCAAACCAAGCAACCTGTGGAAAAAAATAGTAAATTTAATGAGATACTTACATTATCGTATTGAATGTATCAAATACTGGTGAGTGTAATACCTTTGCGGATTCCTGTTTCATATAGGTGAGGAGATCACCCAAAGTCACTGTCTCAGGCTTCGTCACAACTGTTGCATTAACCCTGTTGGCAACTTCGAAGTTCGATTCCAACCTGAACCAAATATGAAATCAGCCATCACGGATTTGGAGGATATTTAAAATCTCATGGAAATTCTAATAAAAAACCTTACCAACTGAGATATGAGCGTGTCTCTTGGATATCGGCATCTATGAATACTCTTGAAGCCGTAGTAGAAGACAAAGATAAGACGCCTATCACAAAGCATAAACCATGTTAAATCAGTGAAACAATGTCATAATGAATTAACGTTAAAAGTGTGTCTAATACTATCATCACTTTATTCAGGTCCTATCTAGATTATCCCCCTAATCTCTATTAAGACACTCTTAAATAAGCAGTATCATGTTTTCAAAATGAACGTGCGTATCAGTATCATACAATAGTTCTATGTTAGAATATTTGAATACATATTCTAGCCTAGTTCTAATGCCTTTTAACATCTACAGAAACCAAATAAAAGTCAGTAACGCAAACCTCCAAACCGTTTCGGATTCAAGGTGGTGATCAAGATAACACTTGCTGTGCCTCCAGATGCTTTGAACTTCTCACAGAACTCGAAGGCGACTTTATCCCAAAGACACATCTTCAGCACTGGTTCACTGTGAGAATCATGAATTATAAAGCAACAGTGAATCATAAATTATAAAGAATAAATCGGTCTTTGTGTAAATTTAATTTTCATTACGTTGAAAAAGTTACAGAATTACTTACTCATGTGTCTGTACGTGAAGGTCAATACGGCGAGATGCAGCAACGCCTACTTCGTCGATGAGAAGTTTGTCACTGGGAACCTCCCCATTCACAAGTTTTATGTGGCCAATGTAATCTGCATAGTACAACACAATGATTTAAATCTGATAAAAACTGTTAACCGGTCTTAAACTGGAATAAAATAATCGATTACAATTTAGATTATACCATTAGCAGCTTGAGTAAAAAAATTCAGTTTATTTTAATGGTCTGAACTTACCATAAAGATCACCTCGCTTATCTGCAGCTGCCTCAAATTCTTTCTGCCCATGGAAACGGAACCTATCCGCAGGAAAACAGACAGAGCTGTCTTTGAATTCAGACAGGACAGAATTCCATGAGAGACTAATGGTGACGGTTGGGTCAGCAACACGGTATATGGTTTTGCTCTGCGACCCAAAAAATCTGTTGAGCCGATAAGTAGCACCAGCTTTCAGTAGAGGTAAATAAGTAGCACTCCTTCCTGGGGGGATGAAACCCTGGATCACATTCTCCTGAAATCGATTACATACAATTAGAAGACTTAAAACAACAGAAAATTGCAAAATGAAACCAATCTCAACAAATTACAGAGCAACAACCTAAACAAATAAACAGAAACTAAAATGAAAACGCCAAGGAACAACAACAAACCGCAAAAAAAATTAAATAAAACTATTAATAGAAACAAATAAGTCAAAACAATTTAATCTAAATAACAAAATAGAAACAATCACCTAACATAGTTATTGTGTTGAACAATAACATATTACCGAAACTAAATAATTATCCATGTTGCTAATTAAATTAAACTATTAATAGAAACAAATAAGTCAAAACAATTTAATCTAAATAACAAATTACATAAAACTATTAACAGAAACAATCACCTAACAGAGTTTTCGCGTTGAACAGTAACATATTACAGAAACTAAACAATCATCCATGTGGTAACACTAACAGTATATTTTTTTATTGAAGATGGAAAACACGTTCATTACCTCTTCGTCGATTAGGAGCATCTCGGTGCCTATGAGCGTCTTTGTCACCGGATTCCAGGCCTCCCAAAAGTGAATCAACCGAAACCGGACCTCCCCTTGATTAGGCCCTAAAGTAACGTCTCTGAAGGTTAGCCCCTTCCCAACGACGTCGGAGACAATCGATTTCCCCTTGGCGGCGGCGGAGATGGCTTCTTTGCGGCCACCGGCGAGGTTGACACCGGAAGACGAACCACGTTTTGGGCTTGGTTTGATCGCACTTGATTTAGTCGCCGATAAGTCTTCTAGTCTGGTTGAGTTCAGATGGCCGGAAGAGATACCTGTCGCGCCAAGGTTTTTTACCCGAACTGATGGAACAGCCGATTCTTTGCCTGATGTCATGGTTGTGTATGATGGTTACGAAAATAAAGGAAGCTATGCTTTCGATGGGAGAAATCATCTGGGTTCTCGAATGAAAGATTATTATATAGATGTAAAGGTTGAGGAAGTGAAGAGAGACAATGAATGAAAGTAAAGAGTGTAGAGTAGTGGGGGAGATTTGATTCTACTGGGAACTCGAAGAGATTGAAGAGCCGAAGTGAAGGGGGAGAGTTGACTCTACAGGGAACTCGAAGAGAACGAAGGAGCCGAAGAGGAAGTGGTTCGAAAAGAATGACTTTTTTTTTTTCCTGCGGCGCAGAGATGAGAAAGGGATTAGGGAAATTAGGGTTTTTTGGCTGTGATATTGCAGATCATGATGACTGGGCTTCACAATAATTAACTTGGCCCAAAGCAAAAAACAAAAACAAATAGCCCAATCGAAATGGCGTGTATGAGTTGGAGGAATAGAGAAATTCTATTGGATGATTAAAATATCTGATGTGGCTTAATGAGGGGGGAGTATTATCCCCTTTTAGTATAGTAGAGATTTTGTAACATTAAAACCCGTGTCTAGTTTATTTTATTTTATTTTTCTTTGTCATCGTGTCTAGTTTATTGATAGAGACAATTATTATTTAGGGGGATTAATTAATAAATTTGCTTAAAATATCAAGTGTCAAGTGAACCAAATCATTTCATTTCCTTCTAATTAGTCGGAGACACAGACCAAACATCATTTTCAGTTTTTTTTTTCTTTCACAAACGACTTATTTACTATATATCTGCTTAATCTAATTGATGCTCATGCATGGATGATAATAGTACAAAGTCCACACATATAGAACTGATTTTAGGTTGTTAATCAACCAAATCTTCTTAAAAGGTTATAAATCAAACAGAAATGATATGAAATCAACATTCTATGTGTATAGGCAAATTTGCACTGAAAGAAAAAGATAATAACAGACTTTTTGACCAAAAATAGTCGATAGCGCTTAAGCTTAACAATAAACATAAAGAGTAGAAAATTAAACCCATACAAAAGAGGTTCCATAAGTATGATTTGATGTACTTGAGAAATACTTTTGATTCGTAAGGGGTTTTGAGAGGGGTCCTCCAGTGTATACATTTTTGCTTCCAGAGTGGAACATTTTAAGTAGCAAAGGTCTTTTGTCCAAAAAAAAGTAGCAAACAAGGTCTCATGATGTGTCTCCAGACCTAAACACTTTGGCCGTGAATAGATGATATGTTATAACACTGTCAAATCATAACAGTGATATTTGTAATAACAATTAACAGTATATATGATATTTATTTTTGGATTGTAAGTTTGTTTTTTTAAATAGTTAGGAGAAAATTAAAAAACACGCAAACATTTGGAAACAAGGTAGGGTTTTCGTGGATTTTTTTTTTTAATCTTAATATGTATTATGTCTGAATGTTACTATTTTGCATAGACAAAATATATTCAGAATACAAAATGAAAATGAAAGATATTTGATATTATGATTTAATTATTAGTTTTTTTTTCGTTTTTCTTAACAAAAAAAAACGATGGGAGATGAGACTATCATACAATGACTCAAGACTGAAAGAGATTTGTTTTAGGTTTGCTGTTCAAACACTCAACTGGGCCTTTAGCATCTGGCCCATTCGTATAGCACAAACGGATCTTGCTGTGACGCTGTCTCAAGCTTGTCTGAGATATTGTAAACCATCCCACATCGCTTACACACAATAGAAGTAACACATGGAGCACAGTATAAGAAAGGAAGTGGAGAGAACGACCAAATTACTTACCTGGACGGGGTCAACTCATGATCAAGAAGATGAGTGGCCTAGGCTAGTGACCTCCATTGCACATAACGGAGGGGCGCTTAGCTTAAGGTCTCCCCAAGTGGGAGAGCCCGCGTCATTATTTGTGGCAGAGGGAGCCTGCGTTCGCGCGGCTCCTACCATACATTACTAGTCTTTTAAACCTTTTTGTAATTTCATAACTCTTAAACCTTACTTATACTGTCTTGGTATCGTACTTGTTAAAATATACTACAGAACATTGTTGTATTTAGGCAGAACAAAAACAATTTCGAGGACAGTTACAGGGATATGCATGGCAAAGAAGACATTAAAAATTGATTTTGTTATGTCTATCTAATCCCACATCGGAGATGTGTCTCAAGTGGTTTGGTTTTGCTGACTATAAAAGGGAGATGTAGTCGATGGTTAAAACTCATCTTTGCGCTTGGGGCAATGACGCAGCTAATGAGGTACTAACCGAGGCGCGTCTATTGCTGGTTGAAAACTATTTCCAAACCCCCTCTTAGGCCTGAGCTTGTCTTTGGCCTTCGAGAATTTCTGGAAGGGCTCCCTTCGGGGTAAAGCCCTACAATCTTCAAAGTTCAAGTTTTGATTCAGCCTTGGTCCAAACCTTGTTAAGACACTGTCTATGTATGTTGTCTAAAACAGAAAATTATCTTTCATAATGTATTCGCAGAACTTCAATTCAAACACTAAAACCGAATCTTGAGAGCAGAAGTCAGTGCTAATTAACTGAGCAAAAACATAGTTATGTGTTGGTTTCTACAAACAATTCAACGTTTCATTAGCGCAAAATGTGTTCGTAAGTTAACAATATTCATTATCATGTCTTTCTTTGCTTGACTCTTCATGACGAATCTCCCTAACATTATATTCTAATATACATATAGAAGTTACCAAATGTTTCATCAACTTTTCTCTGTTTCTGATGAAAGACGCTGTTTTTCAATATTCCTGTATAAATCCTCTCAAAAACAAGAATCACTATAGCAAATCTGCAGTGTGTATTTGAGTATCCAGGACTGTAACTAGAAGTTCTCAAACATTTAACTGGGCTTAACAGTATTCAGCCTCCCATGTGTATAACAGTTTGAGCCTGTTGAGCGAGTGAGATGTACTAAAAAACAGTCCCACATCGCTTAAATGCAAAATGAGTAACACACGGAACACAGTATAAGAAGAGAAATGGATAGAACGTTCAAATCACTTACCTGGACGGGGTCAACTCGTGATCAAGAAGACGAGTGGCCTAGGCTAGTGACTTCCATTGCACATAGAGGAAGGGTGCTTAGCTTAAGGTCTTCCCAAGTGGAAGAGCCTGCGTCATTATTTGTGGCAGAGGGGTGCCTGCGTTCGCGCGGTCCCTACCATCCATATCAGTTTAAATCTTGTATATATACACATTAATTGGTTCATTTCAGTTATACTTTATTCCTAGTTTTGACAACCTATCACTTTTCACATACTCAAAATGTGTGTACTTGGAGGTTAAGTTCAACAATTTGCTAGTTCAATATTTGTTCTCTCAGGCCTTCTCCAAATACTCAATGCTAATATATGATCAAATACATACATTGTTGATGTTGTTTCCTTACAGTCTACAGACATGGCTGAGTTGTTCATTAGAGAAACAATAGGTTCATTAAGAAGAATAATAATACTCATTATTCATGTCTCTCCTTGACTCTTTAATACAAAGCTCTCTAACATTATTCTGGTAATCCCTAAACCATTCTCTATATCATTTGTTGATTAACAACAACTCCGTTACATTTTTCCTCCAATCGCTGAGTGATCTTAACATTTATGCGTGTGTAAGTTTTTTGATAACATTTATACCTTTCCTACCTCGTGTTTAAATCTTGTAGATTTAACATTTTTACTCCTTGTAGGTATGCCCTGTATGTGCGGTGAAAGTGAGCTCTGATATGGTTGCTCATATAACCCTTCAACATGCAAATCTGTTCAAGATATCCTTTTCTCTCTTTCCCATACTAGTTTGTTACGTTTTTTTATACTTTGTGTGATTCTTCAAATGAGCCATTCCTTAACGAATACATTACACGTCAACACGGAAAAGGAAAGGAAGAAGAGGTGGGACACAGTCCATGCTATCAATCTTGAAGAGAGAGTTCCCTGATGGAAATTTTAAGAGCTTGTTTGAAGGATCATCACGTGTTGTTGTATCATCTTCCTCGTCCAGTATAGCTGCTGACCCTTTGCTGTCTTCGTTCATTTCTCCTATGGCTTATGAACTCTTCATCTCTGAGTCAAGTCCATGTGGAGAAGATACAAGTTCTGCTAAGAAAACACTGAGTCAGAGTTTCCCTGAACGGTATTGCTTTCTCACAATACATTTGGATATTCTCATTGCATAGCTATATGATTATTTATTTTTTTCCTTGAATGGATTGTACAGGAATGTTGAGAAGAAGTCACATTCAGCAGAGGATCACAGAGAAAAGCTGAAACAGAGCGAGTTTGTTCAAGTGATTTTCAGCTCTATGATTATTGATTTCAGACCTTAACATCTATGATTTTCACATATGCGTGTGTAAGTTTTTTTTCATGTGCAAAGGATAGTATAAGTTTTTCATATTACTATGCAGACTACTAATGAGACTTTAAAAGGGTACAATGAATACTTATAATTTGTTAGTATCTACTAGTATATTTTTAGTCTGCCATAGTACAGAGTCCTAATCTATTAAACAAATTAAGATGAAACTCAGTAGACAATGATAAGAGAGAGCGTTGCAAATGGTTCCCAAGAAACCTCTAGGTCTTAGGTCCAGGCCATCTGCGAGCACAAAATTTTTGAAAGGCATAGTATCACCATGTTGTCTTCGTGTATCAAACCTGTAACCTCGAGTAATCATGTATGAGAAAATGAGTTGAAACTTCGAGTAGTCATGTGGAGCACAACTTTTTGGATTGGAAGATAGACTACTGCCTTTATCTCTACCCTCTGTTTCTGCTCCATTGCCTTCCCTGCTTGAGTTATATTTTTGGTTTCTATTCCCTTTTAGTTAATGCTCCTCTATGTCTCTTTTTATGTTGCTGTTCTTTCTTTCATGTAATAAGTTGTGCTCCATAATATTGTAAATTCTAAAAAAAGTGGTATAAATCTTAACATTTAGACCAAAAACAAAAAACAAAACATTCATCTGTCTGGAGAAATAATATAAAAACAAAAAACAAAACATTCATCTGTCTGGAGAAATAATATATATATCATGACATATTTATAATAATAAAGCATGAATGCGGACGTGGTTGCCCACCTAAGTGTTTAGAGCATCTCCAATGGTGTTACTCCGTTGGAGTCCTTAAAAAAACTGTTTTTTAATTTTTTAATTATTAAAAAAAAATACCAACTAATTGTGGGTTGCCATGTGTCATGGAGACCCGCAAATAGTGTAAGAATTCGCTAAGAAACAGTCATTATTTAAGGATTTTAAGGATTGAATTCTTAACTTTTTATATGATCCACTGATTATTTAATTATTTTTTCTTTAAAAACTCTCCCCTAAGGACTCCCCTTGGAGATGCTCTTATCGTGAACTTTGTTTGTAGGTTTCCATTTTTTGGAATCTTGATAAATGAAAACTCCGTTTTCATAAAGCATTCTTATATGGACGTTCTTTTTTTTTTGTTTATTTTCATTTCTCTGTCCATATGTCTTCTGTAACTTGGAATTTTTTTTATATATACGTATGGTTTGCTCGATGTAACCATCATTTCCATACATACTTTGCATTCTCAACCTCTTCATACTCGTGAGAATTAAAGAGAAAAAAACAAGACTAAAGAGAAAGATGAAAACTAAAACGAACGCCAGTGGAGCTGAATGGGTATGGGGATATTTGTGCGCTGAATGGGTACAGAGTATTTGTGCCTCGTACCAGAGCCATCTAAGAGCATGTGTAAGTATAGCGGTCGAACAAGACTCCAAATATAAAAATAAAAAAAATAAGAAAAAAATAAGGAAAAATTAAAAATTTATAAGAAATATATATATAAATTACGATAATTTTTTTTAAAAAAAGTTTAGATATATTGCTAAATTAGAACTTATAGTTTTTTTAAAAAAACATCAAACATAATTATTAACTTTTAAAATTTTTCACTAAACCATAAATCTATAGTTAATTTTTTTTTTAACATGGTCTAAAATTTATTTGAGACGGCCATGCCTTATACTTAACCTCGACCATCAGAAATTGTGCTCAAGTACGGTCACTAAAGCCACCAAAGCCATGAAAGGTGATATTCTCTCTCTCAGCTCCTCTTCTCTTTGTTTTTCTTTAGTTTGTCTCTTCTCTTATTTTCCTTGTAGAATCGGTGCCGTGCAAGCATTTTGGAAGGCCTAAGACGAATTAATTTTTTTTAAACGCAATACTAGTTTAAAGTTCTAAAATACATACTTTATGATAAAACTTTAGATAAAATCTCGCATAGAAATGTTATTTTCTACATGCACAACTTTTCTTATAAATCTAAAAGAAAATCTAAAGCATAAAAAAAAATTGTGGCGTAACAACATAAACCGAAAGAAGCTATAATATATCAAAATAGCAAAATCTTAATGATAGCAAAGATGAGGGTTGAACTAACGTACATAAATCTAACTAGGAAAAGAATGTAAACTACACCATAAAATTACGTGTTGTATTTTGGGTTCTAAAAATATTTTTGCAAATGCCTTTTTGATAATACCATAAGCACGGCTTTGAGAACTATATATCTGGGTAATTTCACGCTTGCGTTTTCCTGATGAATTAATTTTTCATTTTCAGCTTACATGGTTACAAAATCAATTGTTTTGGGTATATCTTTATGGGTTCTTCTCACTGTTGGAGTTGGAGGCTAGCTCAACCCCACCGCTCTTAACAATCCAGGTACTTCTTAATTAATATTATTCATTTAAGTCATACATATTTGATTAAAAATTTGAATTTTATTTTCCTAAATATGAAAGAGCCCGGACGGTGACCTGGTTGATTGCATCCTCAGAGAAAATCAACCAGCATTTCAGCACCAGCTTCTGAAGAATGAGTTTCAACCGCTGCAAGATCTTTTCGTTGGAGCAACACATCCCAACTACTATCGAGGCAAGAAGTTGAACAACATGTTCTTTTACTATGGGGAGCCACACCAGCTTAACTCAAAAGCGGCTCATCGTATGTTGAACTACACTATTCTGTATTTCACTTTCGGCCTTTTTTTGTTTTTAGTTTTTTTTTAGTTTTATCTTGTAATTCGATGATGCTTTGATTTGTACGGTTTTCTAACCGAAGACAACTTAACATTATATAACTACCATGTTTATCAATTAATGTTTAGTAACAACAATTGTCATACCTGAATACTTCATTTCTTCTACGTATTGTACCAAGTCTTTTTGAGGCATGAGGCTATGCCTTTTTCCTAATGCTATAAGCACGGCTCTGAGGGGTCTAATATTTATCAAAGTACTTGCAAATATAAAGTAAATGAAGACTGAGAAATATATTTAGCAAATTTCGTGAAAATATGTAGCAAAAACATATAAATAGTTAGCAAATATGTTGCAAGTATTTAGAAAACAACTTGCAGATATTTAACAAATGACTTGAAAATATTCAGCAAAAACTTATAAGTAATTCTAAAATATAAGCATTTTGTTAATTTAAATTTATACATTTTGATTGATTGAACTTTGAAAAAAATTTCATGGGTCAGATCATATTCTCAAAAATTATTAAGAAATTAATTAATTAATTTTTTAAAAAATACTCATGATATAAGAATCGAATATATAACATATCTAAAATACATTTTAAATTTTCCACAACTAACATTTATTTTGTAAATATTTACAACAGTAAAATTAAATTCAATGGGTACACAATCCATATTAGCTAAGACACTAAGCAGTTTAGAAAACTCCTTCCAATAATATTTTACTGCAGTTATTTAGTTAGTAATATCTAAAACTGAAACAATTAGAAAGTGAAATAGAACAACATAAAATATATTGTCCAAATTGGACTATAAATGTATCTGAAAACATTATATATCCTCATGCATATGTGCTTTCAGTATAGTTTAAGTCATGGTTTTTGGATTTGAAAGTTAGGCTCATAACATAACTGCATTTTATATTGGTTTGTGTTTGATTTTGAACTAAAATTATAGTAAAAGTAGACATGTACCTCGTGACTTCTAGCTCTCAGTAATGCTGGAGTTTGAAGTTCCATTATGCTTTGAAATAATCCTTGGAATTGGTATCCAACCCTTCGGACATCTTGTTCCAGTTTGGTGCCAGACCTACCAAATATGTTCCTTTAATATTGTTTATAAACACAGAAAAACTAGATAACATTATGAAGATCCTGACTCCCGAAAAGAAAACAATGTTTGATAAGTGCAGAACAAATTAAATAAACCTATAAACAGATTACATAGAAAAAGATATGTTTAATTATGGGACGTGAAAATAAAAGATAGGAAACAATTTTTTTAACATATTTTTATTAGATATAATGATAACTTTTTTTTTACGAAAAAAATGCGTGGTTTCATGGCTTTGGTTTGGCCTCTGCAAAAATACTTGAACATTAGACTCTAGAAATAAGTTAAAACTGAATAATTTTTTTATGTACATCGGAGATGAAAAGAGTGTTTGTTTTAGAATGTATTTTCTTTTAGTTAATAGATTCACTAAGATGTTTTAAGTTCTAGGTAATAGTGACGACTGTAGATATATATAACTACAAATAATTGAAATTTTTCAGGTTTGGGTTCGCAGTGACCAAACCAAGCTGATTAGTAGAACTAAAATCTATTTTCATAAAATATAACTTTGTTAGGATTTCATATAAAATTTAGAATGACCTAAATCATATTATAAACAAATTAATAATAGTATTTAGTTTTGAATTGGAAACCATACAAACTAAGACAATCTCAAAATCAGTTTGCTAACCTAATTAGAAAACCTAATAAGGTTTATTGTGGAACCCAAAATGGATACGAATCAATATGAATTAGAAAAAGTGGATAATTTTGAGTCATGCATCAAAAACTAAACTTATTAAACAATATCAAAAAAATAAATTTATCATAACTTGTCTATATATGATTTTATCAGTTTCAAAAAAGATTTTGATTATTCATAATTTATGGAAAAAATCAAATAAAATCTTCACTTGTCCATTTAATTTTAACTATATCACTAACAAATAATTGTTGACAAAAACAAAAACAAAAACAAAAACAAATAAATCCCTAGCTTTGGCTTAGGGGATCTCCAATCATTAATACTATTTTTTTTTTTTTTTTTTTTTTGATCAAATCATTAATACTATTTTTTTTGTTTTAGTTTCAACACTAAAAAAACTCTTCTCTAACCATAACACCAAACTTCACATTAAAACTATTTTAGAGTATTATCTTTATTAGTTATTTATTTAATTTATCTTTTTGTTGATAAAATAAGTGATTAATATTTTAATATTGTGAACAGTATCATATTAAATTTGAC